TAAGGCTCTTCTTAAATTATTGAAGACTAGGGGAGAGTCTGATGGCAGTAGGCAAGCTATTCCATAGGAGAGGAGCCTTTATGATGTTACCCACACATGCCCATCTCTGGAAGGGATTTAGGAGACTCTATCACATACTACATAAAATGGCGCAGTTTAATGTTGTACAAATGTATATGATGACTGACACAGGTACACATAAACACACACAGACACATACACATACATTTATATTTGCTGTTAACGTACCTTTTTTCTTCCTTCAGTGCTGCAGGCTGCTGGCTGAAGATGGTGTGCCAGGTGGGCAGCTGCTCACCCCCCGCTGCGCTACCTCTCCCTCCAGCCAGTGTGCTCTGTCTGGGAGGAAGTGCTGTCACTTCCTCTCAGCATCCCATACAATAGGGGTCCGGTCGCGGTCTTAGACGCCCACGGCGCCTGACCAGACCCCTGGGGGCACCCTCAGGGCACTATAGTGCCACGAAAACAAGTATGTTTTCCTGGCACTATAGTGGTCCTTTAAGGAATACCCCAACTTTGAAAATCTTATTAAAAAACATTTCAAAAACACACACATTTTTAGAACTACACAATTATTAAAAAGCTTTATGGATACAGATAAGTAAATGGGAAGAGGATTTAAATAAATCTTTTTCAATAGATGAATGGGGGGAGGCTTTTATACAAGTCCAAAAAAATCACCCGAAGCCTTAGCCTACATGAAACCTTTTTCAAAATTATTCACAGATGGTATCATACTTCTTATAGAATCAAGAAATTCAAACATAATTACTTGGATATCTGCTGGAGATATTATGTGGAGGGAATGTAACGGCTTAGCAGAGATTAAAAAATATCAGTAATTTTAAAACTTTACATATACAAGAAGAACTATTTCCTCAGACTTTCTTATTTCATCTTGAATTACTTATTTGCAGCTTTGAACAAAAAACATTCTTAATAAATATATTAGCCAGAAACTGGAAGATATCTTCAGCACCTAAATGATCAGGAATAACCAATCAGATAGGATACCAGGGCAACATGGAGAAGGGGTTTTATTGAAATGCTGACAAGATCTCAATACCCAAAGCTATACTAGATGCATATCCCTCTCCCCATCAGGACTCTTTCCCGCCGACCATACTTTATTATTTCAATAACTATTTTGATTCCACGTTCCCATGACCTATTTTGACTTACTTGTATGTTCAATGTAATGGATCCCCTATACTCCGACTGAGTATATCCGTTGGAGAGTCTCCCAGATCCCGAAATGAAGCAGTGATTATAACTCTGGTATACCCAAACATCAGCCAAGACTTGATGAAGGGATGAACTGGTTTTATTAGGGCCTAGTGGCCTGTTTATATAGACGTAGATATAAACGCCTCTGTGTTTGGGAGATAAGTGAGCTTGTGTGTCAAAGTGTGTGTATTTGGCTGTCAAGGTGTGTGTATCTATGTGTCAAAGTGTGTGTAATTATCTCCCAAACACCAGTGGTACAAAATATAACACATAACACCCCAAAAACACACAATATCAAGAGCCACCCCACAAGTATTATTTCACCGGATAGCCTGGGTCTGAGCGCCCAAGTTGTCCAAATAACGCTCAGATCCATGAATTCTAATTGAATCACCACTGGGGTAAAGTTTTGACTGGCCGCACACGTGGTTCCATGCCAAGATTAAGGAGGATGATAAGAAGCTATTGATGATTAACAGCGGCAAAAGCAGCGGAAAGGTCCAGCAGAATTAGGATAGAATAATGACCACGACATTTTGCAGTGCGTAGATTGTTGGTTACTTTGGTCAGAGCCGTTTACACAGAGTGCTGGATGTGGAAACCAGACTAAAGCGGGTCGAGCAGAGAGTTGGATTTGAGGAAGTCTGTCAATCTCGCATGCATACCTCTTTCAAGGATCTTAGATGCAAAAGGTAGGAGTGAGATAGGGTGATAGTTGGACGGGGAGTTAGGGTCAAGGTTGTTTTTTTTAAGAATCGTGCTTACAGTTGCATGTTTGAAGGGTGAAGGAAATGTTCCAGAGGAAAGGGAGAGATTGAAAATGTTGTTATAGGCAGAGCAAGAGAAGGAGACAGAGTACAGATGAAATGCAAGGGAATAGGATCAAGGGTGCAGGTGGTGGGTTAGGAGGACCGGAGCAGAGCAGAAACCTTTTCTGCTGCAGAAGGTGCGAATGAACAGCAGAGATAGTGGGGCTGGGGGAAGTATTGTTAGTGGAAGCAGAGCGATGAGAGATAATTTCCCTGATTGTAGAGATTTTGACAGTTAAGTGAGTTGCTCTTGAGCCTTTTTGGGGGTATCGGGTCAGCTTGGTGTGCCAAGGTTGTTGTTGGAGGTGCTTGGTGCATTTAAGTGTAGGAGGTGCCATGATGTCTGGTGTAGCATGGATTTGTAGAAGGAGGTTGCAGAGCTAGAGCAGGTGAGGTTTGAGCTAGGTAAAAGGAGAGTTTGGAGGTGACTGGAGAATTGCTCTAGGTCAAGACAGTGGAGTTTCTGCTAGATTGATATGCCGAGGGTGGTGTCATTTGGGTCCTGGGTATGCCGATGTTAAAAGTCAGCTGAATTAGACCACTGCGTGAGGCCAAAGGAGGAAGTTACAGAGAGCAGACGAGTGGCATCAGAGCAGTTGGGGTTGTTGCTTGGGTTATGGGACTGGGATATTGTTTATTTGTGTGACTAGGCTTGCTACCTCAACAGATGCACTTTGCCTTTACATTCAAATTCAGAAACCAGAGTAGGAGCTGTTATTTTCCAAAGAAAATCTCAAGAGAAACATCTTCATCCATGTGGGGTTTTCTCTAAAAATATTGTCTGCTGCTGAGATAAATTTTGATCAGGACTAGCACTACTGCTAGATGAACTAGGCAGCCGTCTATTGCACACTGGCCTGGGGATCATCATAGAGCGCACTGCACAACTGCATATTGTGCCGCTAAGCGGATTGCAGTTAGAGGATCTTCTGTATCTTCTATCCAGTCCAACAGGTAGTGCTTGAAGCGAAGGATTCAAAAGAGGCCTTCTCTGCCACGCTACAAGGAGGTAAGCTGGCACTGCAGAAGGAACCTGAGGGGGGCACAAAGAGACACAAAGGGAGCTGAGGGGGGAGAAATAAACACAGAGAGGGGCTGAGTGGGTAAAAAGAGACACACAGGGAGCTGAGGAGGGAGAAAGAGACATGCAGAGGACTTAGGGGGGAGAAAGAGACACACAGTTGGCTGAGGGGAAGTGGTGGAATACTGCCGGTGCAGCCAGTACAGATACACTGGGGCCCGCATGGTAGGGGGACCATATTCTGACTTCTATTTTTTTTTACCTTTGGCTTGTCTTACCTCCACTCCACTGTTTTCCTGACCTCGGCTTGTCCAGTTTATTCTAGAATTTATGTTAAATTGGACATTCTTAATATATTTTAGAGTTTCTGGTATTCATTTATTTGGTTCCATAAAGTGATACTCCACTGACCAAATACAAAATAAATCAAAATCACTTCTTAGTAGATATACCCCACATGAAAACTTGAATACATTAAATTATACATTTTCGCTGGTGGTATATTTAAAAACTGCTTGCAAAACCTGCAGTTCTCTTGTCTGATGCCTTTGCAACTCATCCCCTTCTAACTCCTACCCAATGTTCTGTGGTTGTCCAATCACAGACATTCCAATGCAGCTGAATGAGAAGTCTTTGCAAGGCAGGTGATCTGAGCAATTAAGGCCTCTTGACTTACTACGGGGGGGTTAATTTTTTCAAGTATTGATTTCTATTGAAATTTGCACTTTTTGCAAAATGAAAATAATAGAACACACTCATCACACACAATGCTTTTCAGCAAGCTAAAGTGTTTTAGGGGTCTGGAATGTAACTTAAGGTTCTGTGTGTTGGGAATTAGTCTATCCTGACTAATAGCATTTACAGTTGGCCAGGGAAATTCTAGTATTGCATAAACCGCGTATGGGCAATTGGTGTAGTCATTTATTTGCTTTGGGCTACATCTCTAGTTGTATTTGGACCTAGCAACACCATTTACAGTCCAGTTGCTCTGACAAGACGTGCACCTTTAACAATTCAATTTCCCTATTATGTGTATGTGGTGACAGAGCCTGCCAGGGGGATCAATCTTGGGGGCAAGGTGACACCGCAGCCATCAAGGCATGACATTGATCCTCTGGTCAGTGGTTCAAGGTTTCTGTCTGCTGTTTCAAGGATGCTACCCTTAATTTCTAAATGAATGGCAGGAAATATTTGTTCAAATTTTATGTGTGAATGCTGGGATGTTTAACCTAAATAATGTTCTTATTTGCAAGTTTCCCTAATTATTGCTGTTGCAGGCAGAGTGTTTATATAAATAACACATCCAGACACATACACAACTTTAATTGCATTAATGTGCTGCATTATTTAGAAATTTTTTTATTTTTTTTTGCAGAAAAAACTATGTGTGCCTTTTTTCTCAATTAATTGTGCCTTGGTGGAAAACAGGTTTTGTACCATTTTGCATACTGGCGCCATCTAGTGTACCAAATGGTTTAATGCATACAGAAGTACAATTTCAAAAAATACGTTTACACATATGTAACTGTGCAATAAATCATAATGGTAAGCAGTTTATTGCTCACTATATCAATAACCTTCCAATATAGTATAATGCATTCAGCGAAAGGGCATGTAAAACTGTATAACATGTTTGGAATAATTGTACATTAGTAAGGATATACACAGTTAATTCACTAATGTAAGAATTCAAATTTCAACTTTAAAACCAATATAGCTGTCTTGAAAATAATAAGCCACCTATGCTTTCAGTTCATATGTTTTTGCCTTAAACATGAAATTCACTTTTTAAATTTACTTTTAAATCTCACTTTAGTGAACAACTCTGTCAGAATATTGCCCGTGCCCCTTTGGAAGGGTGGTGCTAGAATTTCTCTGAAAACAATTTGTCCTTTATACTTTTGCTGAAATAGTTAACAGAACATAGTGCTATATTTATCCTGGTCTGGGAATGAAGCCAATCGTATATAAACTGCTAGTTTCAAAATGTTAAGTCAGAATGTCATAAGATCTCAGAGTCAAGGAAAAAATATTTGTTAATAATAGAAGTTTTGACTGCCTCTTTAAATTCTTAAATAGAACATATATTGCTTTTAAGTTGCCAGTCCGAACAGTCCTGAACACATCTAAGGAGGTGAGTTGGCAATGTGTATATATCACTGGGTGCTATGGCTATTTAGGGTGGCATGAATATTCAACATTAATGCAGTGTGTTTTGTTGATATTCAGATTAAAGCAAAGCGGATTTCTTTAGGGGTTTATACTGCTTAGTGAATTACAATTCCTGCATGATATCCTGTGGATAAAATGCTATTTATGAAGCAGGGTAAAGTCAGGGTAGTTGGTGTTAGGCAGGTATGCTCTACATGTGGTATATTCATAAATGCAGTATTTGACAGTAGGTGCTGGCTACTCACTGTTAGTGAATGGGTGATGTTGTACCTGAAATATGGATGCCAGGGTCCCACATTCTCAAATTTGCCAACTATGGGGACAAGACACTAGGACAACACAAAGAGCACTTCAGATGGGGACAGGTAACATTGACATTACCAAATTGTGTGCTTCACAGCAAATATTCAGTGTTATATAATGGATGCTGTGGATATTCAGTGTGTAGTATTTCATTATCATAATTATATATATTGTAAAATTCCACAGCTCTTTACAATTTCAGAAAGAGGTTTATTAAAGGTAAAGAAGGCTCTACCAGCTTACAATCTATGAGCATTTGGGGAGTCAGATATTTGTCATTTGGTGTCTTGCCCAGGATTAGATGGTTTGACAAGGATTCCAGTTCTAAGGTAGTGGCATTTCCCCTGTCATGTGATCTGGGGATATTCCATGTAAGGTATCTACAGGTCTGACGTGGCGGGCTTACATGTAATGGCCATTGCAGTTACAAAATAACCTCAATTTATTGAAATACATAGGGATTTGGGTCATTCTTTCTTTCTTTGATTTTTATTGTATGTATTGGGGCTGCTGTGTGTTATGGTCATGGCTGCTGCCCATGAGTAGTAGGAGTTTTTACGCTGGACTTAATTTTGTGTTTTTATAAAAGGTTTAATACTGTCTGCTAAATGTTTAAAACTAGCAACTGAGCAGCTATATTCACACTGTTTATGCAGCAGTAGTCACACTTCACCTTGCTGTTACTTACACCACCTGCATTAAAATAAATAAGGTCTGACTTTCAATGAGATACTTTAAATGTTTTCATCTCCCGCTGTCTAAATTGCTCTCTAAATTTTAATCACACACAGTAGGCTCCTACAGTGGCTATCATGCTATTAACAGTGCAGGGGATAAGACATTTTAAATTAAACAGAATTTGCAATAAAGAAAGTATAAACATTAGATGACTAGATACAGGAAGTGCTTAGGTAGGCTGTGAAAGTCACATGCATGACTAGGGTGCATAAGCAAAGTGGTTTGTCTCCTAAATGGCAGAGAATTTAACGGGGAGACTCCAGGGGCATGATCTATATCCCAAAACAGATGCATTAAGCTAAAGTTGTTTTGGGAACTATAGTGTCGCTTTAAGGATACCAAATTAGGGGCTGTTGTATTTAGTAGATAGCTCCCTAATTTGGTATCCTTTAAATGACACTCCTTAAGGAAAAAAGGCCCAAATGATTAAGTTTTCACCATGCAATCTAAACGCTGTTTTGGGGGGCAAGAATACCCAAAATACTTTATTTATACTCAGCAGTGTCTGTTTCCGACATTACCAACACCACTGTATCCATTGACCCCATCTTGCTTTAGGGAGACTGTCCTGAGTCATGGTACTTACATCCCTGTTTTTTTGAAATTTAAGACCATGCAAAAGCTAAGAAAAGTTTTTTAAGGTTGTTTCCCAGCCGGCAATCCATTCATTCCTGGCTACCATTGCCCTTATGAAGGTATATTTCAGTTGTAGGTAGTTTGTGCACAGCCTCACCTGATACCTGTACAGCACGCCTGGTCTAGAGGCTGTACCCATTGGTGGTGAGAGTTTCAAGAAAGCTCTTATGTTCCTCAGTCCTCAAATAACTTGCCTATTTACCAGTATTAGTTGTTTGTAGCAGGCTTGGTTACCCTTTCGGGCTGCTTGCACAAGGTTTACTGCATGTAAAGTGGTATAATCCACATCTCCGGTAGGCGGTACCAGTCAGACTTCATACATAAATTTGGTCTTTGTTTTGTAATATTGCTTTGTAATTGTCAGGAAAGTGACAGGGATCCAATACGCAGAGTGCGCACAGAATGAGGTACGTATACCGGACCTTAGAATGGCCGGACTAACGTAAGGACAAAGCAAGAATAGTCAAAAGGTAAGCCGAGGTCAAGGGAGCCGGAGGACAGGTAAGCGAGATACAAGCCGAGTCAAAGGAGAGGAGAGGACAACAGGACAAAAGACAAGCAAGGGTCAAAACCGGAAACACAAGATAAAGAACGCGCTGAGTGACTAGCAAGCTAGAACCACGACAGGGCAATGAGCAGTAGTAAAGGTTTCCTTTAAATACCCTGTTACCTAAATAGAGACCACGCCCCCAAAAGGTCCGGAATAGCGGTTCCCGGCACTTTATGCAAATGCCGACGTCATGACGTCGACGCTAGCCGTCGCGTCATAAAAGGGGGAGGAGCTAGCGCGGCCGGCGCGAAAACGGCCGGAATATGCCGAAATGCTAGGGGAAGGGAGCCCCTAAGCAGAGAGGATGTCCTCCCTGGATACATCACCAACAGGTACCCTGACAGTACCCCCCCTTCTAGAAACGCCCACCGGGCGGATGGGACCTGGCTTAGAAGGAAAACGAACGTGGAAGGCCCGTAGAAGACGAGGAGCATGCACGTCTATACCAGGAACCCAAGACCTCTCTTCTGGACCATAACCTTTCCAGTCTATGAGGTATTGCAGCTTCCCCCTAGAAATACGAGAATCAAGGATGGACTTGATGATATATTCCTCCTGACCATCCACACGGACCGAGGATGGAGGAGTAGAGCGGGAGGAAAATCTGTTACAAACAAGAGGTTTCAATAACGACACATGAAAAGAGTTAGGGATGCGTAGAGTAGGAGGTAGGTCCAGCAAATAAGAAACCGGGTTGATCCTCCTCAGTACCCTGTAAGGACCAATGTAACGAGGAGCAAACTTCAAGGAAGGAACTTTCAGGCGAATGTGTCTGGTACACAACCAGACCCTATCCCCCGGAGAAAAAATAGGAGCAGGACGTCTACGCCTATCAGCATGTGACTTAAACACCGCGGAACTACGTTCAAGAATTTGTCGAGTCTGATCCCACAACTTTCTCAGGTTGGCTATATGAATATCAACCGACGGTATACCCTGGGAAGGAGACACCGACGGAAGAACAGTAGGGTTAAAGCCATAGTTCAAGAAAAAGGGGCTATTATGAGTGGAACCACAAACAAGGTTGTTGTGAGCAAACTCCGCCCAAGGAATCAGACCGACCCAGTCATCCTGGTGTTCAGAAACAAAACAACGTAGATATTGCTCAATTTTTTGGTTAGTGCGTTCGGCTGCTCCGTTAGATTGAGGATGATAGGCCGAAGAAAAATTCAGTTTGATGCCCAACTGTGAACAGAAGGATCTCCAAAAACGGGAAATAAATTGGGAACCCCTGTCTGACACAATCTCATTGGGAATACCATGTAAACGGAAAATTTCTCTAGCAAATATCACGGCCAGTTCGGGGGAGGACGGAAGTTTAGGCAAGGGAATGAAATGAGCCATTTTAGTAAACCTGTCAAGGACCGTGAGAATAACTGTATGCCTATTGGAAGCTGGTAGATCAACAATAAAATCCATAGCCAAGCAAGCCCAAGGTTTGTTGGGAACGACTAAGGGCTGCAATAAACCACAAGGGAGATCCCGCGGAAGTTTATTCCTGACACAAACATTGCAAGCCTTGACAAAGTCTTCCACATCCCTACGTAAACCGGGCCACCAGAAGTCTTTTGAGATCAGGCAGTAAGTTTTGTGGATGCCGGGGTGACCAGCGATCTTGCTATCGTGGAAACAGCGAATAATGTCCACTTGGAATTTGGGAGACACGAACAAGCGGCCCACAGGAGTACGTTCGGGAGCAAGAGATTGTTCGTTCTGAATATCAGCGAGCAATGGAGAGTGTATTTTGACATTGGTGTTGGCGATAATATTGACTTCAGGAATAATAGGGAACAAAGTATCCTCTGTAGAGGTGATAGGTTCGTGCTGACGTGACAAAGCGTCTGCCTTAGTGTTCTTAGAACCAGGCCTGTAAGTAAGCACATAATTAAAGTGTGTAAGGAACATAGACCAACGTGCCTGCCTGGCAGATAATCTTTTGGCCTCCCCCATATACGATAAATTTTTGTGGTCAGTCAAGATAGTAACTGGGAGGACGGTGCCCTCTAACAAATGTCTCCATTCCTTTAATGCCATAATGATAGCTAAAAGTTCTCTATCACCAATGTCATATCTCCTTTCAGTGTGTGACAGTTTCTTGGAAAAAAAACCGCAAGGGTGCAGCGGCTTATCTAAACTTTGTCTTTGGGATAACACTGCGCCTATCCCTGTTTCAGACGCATCAACTTCAAGTAAAAAGGGTAGAGAGGTATCAGGATGAACTAATACAGGTGCTGAGGCAAAAGACTGTTTGAGCGTTTCGAAAGCAGATAAAGCCTCAGTAGACCAGGTTTTGGTATCGGCTCCTTGTTTGGTCATATTAGTGATAGGAGCGATAACAGAGGAGTACCCTTTAATAAAACGTCTGTAATAATTAGAAAATCCAAGAAATCTTTGTATGGCTTTGAGTCCCTTAGGTAAAGGCCAATCTAAAATCGATTTTAGTTTGGTCGGGTCCATCATAAACCCGTCTTTGGAAATTACGTAACCTAAGAAAGTTACCTGAGACTGGTCAAAGCTACATTTTTCCAATTTACAATACAACCCATGTTGTAAAAGTTTCTGTAATACCTTTCTGACTTGTCTATGATGTGAATTAATGTCTCTAGAATGGATTAGTATATCATCCAAATATACAATTACACATTCATGTTGGAATTCTCTAAGAACTTCATTGATCAAGTCTTGGAAGACGGCCGGGGCGTTACAAAGCCCAAACGGCATTACGGTATACTCATAATGCCCGTAACGGGTATTAAATGCTGTCATCCATTCATCTCCTTGTTTAATTCGCACTAAGTTATATGCTCCCCTTAAGTCAAGTTTAGTAAAAATACTCGACCCCTTTAGTCTGTCAAAGAGTTCAGTAATCAAAGGAATAGGGTAAGCATTTCTGATAGTAATTTTGTTCAATCCCCGATAGTCTATACAAGGACGTAAGGTACCGTCTTTCTTTTCTACAAAAAAGAAACCCGCCCCCGCCGGAGAAGAAGACTTTCTAATAAATCCCTTGTCTAAATTCTCCTTGATATATTCCTCTAAAACTAAGTTTTCCTTGGTGGATAGAGGGTATACCGTACCCCTGGGAGGCATAGTACCAGGGAAAAGTTTAATAGAACAGTCATAAGACCGGTGGGGAGGTAAAGTATCCGCCTTACCCTTGTCAAATACAGATTTGAGGTCTAGATATTGTAATGGTATCTGAACGTCTGTGGATTGAGAAGTGTTAGCATAAGAGTTCACGGGGCAAACAGAAGTAACTCTCTGCAGACATTCTTTCCTACAACCCATACCCCAAGAAACGATTTCTCCACCCTCCCAGTCAATCTGAGGGTTGTGTCTCTTGAGCCAAGAATATCCTAGAACCACTGGGACTGCCGGGGAGGAAATTAACAGAAGGGAAATCAACTCTTCGTGGAAAATACCAACAGTAAGCTTAACGGGTTCGGTCTCATGGAATATTACTGGTTCAGATAAAGGTCTACCATCTATGGCCTCAACGGCCAAGGGTGTATCTCTCAATTGGAATGGGATACAATGCATATTAGCGAAAGTTTGGTCTATAAAGCTTTCTGCTGCTCCAGAATCTAATAATGCCATCGTAGTAATAAACCCCTTTTCCCAAGCTAGAGAGACAGGAATCAGAAGCCTATGGTCTTTTTTATTATGCATAGAGGACAGTAATGAAACACCCAAGGCCCGTCCTCTAAGGGAACTTAGGTGCGAGCGTTTCCCGGACGATTAGGGCAACTAAGACGTAGGTGACCTCTCAGCCCGCAGTATAAACAGAGACCCTCCCTTCTTCTGTACTGTCTCTCAGCCTCAGATAAGCGAGTATTACCTATTTGCATAGGTTCTGGTGGAGTAGGATTATAGGAGTCAGGGTTCTGAAATGAGGGAGCGAGTCTTACAGGAAGTCTAGTAACTCTTTCCCGAGTGTTCTGCCTCTGTCTCATGCGTTCATCTATTCTGGAAATGAAGGATACTAAATCCTCTAAATTTTCCGGAAGTTCTCTAGTGGCAATTTCATCTAGAATTTCATCAGACAACCCATTCAAGAAAACATCCATAAAAGCTTGTTCGTTCCATTTCACTTCTGCTGCCAATGATCTAAACTCTAGAGCATATTCTACAAGGGTCCTATCTTGTTGTTTAAGGCGTAACAGGGATCTGGCCGCATTAATCTTCCTCCCTGGGGGGTCAAAGGTTCTTCTAAAAGCCGTGACAAACGCAGTGTAGTTGTAGACTAAAGGATTGTCATTCTCCCAAAGGGGATTGGCCCATCTAAGTGCTTTATCTATTAGCAGGGTTATAATAAAGCCTACCTTAGCCCTGTCAGTGGGGTAAGCCCGGGGTTGTAGTTCGAAATGTATACTTATCTGGTTTAAAAAACCACGACAAGCATCAGGCGAACCCCCATATCGTAATGGTGACGTGACATGGGAAGATGCGCCTACAGTGGCTACTTCCAAACCAGTACTTAGCGAGTGGCTAGCAGTGGAACGTATTTCTTCAGACTGGGTACTGGAGCGTGTCAACAAAGTTTGTAACGCTAAAGCCATTTGGTCCATTCTATGGTCCATGGCCTCAAATCTGGGGTCAGGAGGACTAGCACCTGCAGGATCCATCATGGCCCTGTCGTAATGTCAGGAAAGTGACAGGGATCCAATACGCAGAGTGCGCACAGAAGGAGGTACGTATACCGGACCTTAGAATGGCCGGACTAACGTAAGGACAAAGCAAGAATAGTCAAAAGGTAAGCCGAGGTCAAGGGAGCCGGAGGACAGGTAAGCGAGATACAAGCCGAGTCAAAGGAGAGGAGAGGACAACAGGACAAAAGACAAGCAAAGGTCAAAACCGGAAACAAGATAAAGAACACGCTGAGTGACTAGCAAGCTAGAACCACGACAGGGCAATGAGCAGTAGTAAAGGTTTCCTTTAAATACCCTGTACCTAAATAGAGACCACGCCCCCAAAAGGTCCGGAATAGCGGTTCCCGGCACTTTATGCAAATGCCGACGTCATGACGTCGACGCTAGCCGTCACGTCATAAAAGGGGGAGGAGCTAGCGCGGCCGGCGCGAAAACGGCCGAAATATGCCGAAATGCTAGGGGAAGGGAGCCCCTAAGCAGAGAGGATGTCCTCCCTGGATACATCACCAACAGGTACCCTGACAGTAATATGTCATAGCTGTGGTGTAGATCCTTCCATGTGGTGGCAACTCACCTTTACTTTCCCTCATGTATTCCATGGCCTATGGTTGCTCATCTTAAATGATGGATAATTACTCCTAATGTGACCCACTGTTGACAGGAGTAAGAGTGCATTCCTGCTCAAGAGACCTGAGAGGATAGCAGACTTGGAGGGTTGATTGAGGGTATTTGTCAAGCTGCAGAACAATGCTGGACTGCCAGTAAATGAATGATTTTTTGAAGTTCAGGAGTAGGCAGGTCACGTCTCCTGGTAGCAGTGTATTCATCAGCCAATCTACCAAATATCTCATACTGTAAGAGAGTGGCGGTGTACAGTCCATTATCTGACCTCTGTGGGGAAAATACTGCAGCAGAAGCAATAGCATTCCCCATTTCACCGTGGACACTTGCCATCCTTGCCACCATTTAGAGGCAGCCAGATATAACTGATATGCCCATTACATGTATGTGTCACATTACTTTTCCACAAGTCTCTAAACTTTCAGACTCCAGGGCAGAGGCGTAACTAGAAACCATGGGGCCCCGGTGCGAAAATTGCCCTGGGCACTATCCATACATCTACCCAGCCACCTCCAATACATTTATCCTCCCCCTCCCATACATTGCCCCCACACATGCAGACAAACAGATACACATGCAGACACACACATAGAGACACACACATATACAGCGAGACACAAGCACACACCTACATACACAGACATACACACACACACACAAATACAGGCACACATACATACAAGCACACATTCAGACACACATACATGCATACAGACACATACATACAAACACAGACAGACATATAAACACATGAACACATACATGCACACACACATACATACATACATACACACACATTCACACATACAGACACAAAGAAAAACAGACAGGCATACACACACACATACATACAGAGAGACATTCATACAGACACACATACATATACATACATACATACATACAAACAAACACACACATATACAAAATGTTTTAGTCACCCTCCCGTTTCCTAACTTTTAGGTGCAGGAAAGTGACATTCCCTGGGGTCCAGTGGCTCAGCCCCCACTCTTACTCCCTCCTTTCCTTCCTCCTGCATGGCTCCAGGTGGTTGCTAGAAGAAAGTGACTGGGCAGTCACTTCTTCCCAGCTCTGATGTCATCACAGGGGGAACGGTCACACTGTTAAAGTGCCACAGTGCTGACTGGGCCCCCTGAAAATTAATTTCCATTGGGTGGCCCTAAACATGCGGCCCCATCGGTTCTACCGCGCAGGCCGGGTCCGGAACACATGGTGGCGGGCACAGTGGATACAGGGGTCCGTAGGGTGGCCGGGCCCCCTGAAGTGGCATGCCCGGTGGCAGCTGCGACCCCTGTGACCATGGTAGTTTCGCCACTGGTCCAGGGTTATGTCATAGTGGACTAGTCAACACTCTTTCACAATATTGTAGTTCATACAGAGACCAACTGGAACAGGTCTATGGGATGCTGCCGTCCAGACAGTTTGTAACCCAATTAAAGTGCAAACCTAATAAAGTGATATAAATATTGTGCAGTTTTACTTTAAATATACAATGCTATATATCTATACACATTCCACTCTGAAAAAATATATATAATTTAATCTACAAAAGAAAAAACATATCCATAGTGCAAAATTGTATAGACAGAAATAGTGTTAAAAATCCCACCTAATTGGCTCTATGTTTCACAAGCTCTGAATGCAGAGGTGTAAAGTACCCCACATGGCTGTTTGTTCTTCTTTGGATGACAGTTGCAGTAGTATATTAATAAGAAACCCTAAAAAGAGTGGGCTTTAACGCAGAAGGACGACATAGCACACCCAGCCGTCTGTCCTGCCACCATAAACTTACCTGACTCGGCAATCCGTGATGATCCCAGTCGGGGGGGGTGGGGGGACTGCCTGTGCTGTCCCACCTCTATCGCCCTCCAGGGCCATGTGATCATGATGATCACATGGCCACAATTCCTATAATGAGTACATATATATTTAATACACACACACATATACAGTTGCAAGAAAAAGTATGTGAACCCTTTTGAATGATATGGATTTCTGCACATATTGGTCATAAAATGTGATCTGATCATCATCTAAGTCGCAACAATAGACAATCACAGTCTGCTTAAACTAATAACACACAAAGAATGAAATGTTGCCATGTTTTTATTGAACACACCATGTAAACATTCACAGTGCAGGTAAAAGTAAGGTGGAAAAAGTATGTGAACTCCTAGACTAATGACATCTCCAAGAGCTAATTGGAGTGAGATGTCAGCCAACTGGAGTCCAATCAATGAGATTAGATTGGAGGTGTTGGTTACAGCTGCCCTGCCCTATAAAAAACACACACCAGTTCTGGGTTTGCTTTTCACAAGAAGCATTGCCTGATGTGAATGATGCCTCGCACAAAAGAGCTCTCGGAAGTACTACAATTAAGAATTGTTGACTTGCATAAAGCTGGAAAGGGTTATACAAGTATCTCCAAAAGCCTTGCTGTTCATCAGTCCATGGTAAGACAAATTGTCTATAAATGGAGAAAGTTCAGCACTGCTGCTACTCTCCATAGGAGTGGCCATCTTGTAAAGATGACTGCAAGAGCACAGCGCAGACTGCTCAATGAGGTGAAGAAGAATCCTATTGTGTCAGCTAAAGACTTACAAAAGTCACTGGCAAATTCTAACATCCCTGTTAGTGAATCTACAATACGTAAAACACTAAACAAGAATGGATTTCATGGGAGGATACCACAGAGGAAGCCACTGCTGTCCAAACAAAACATTGCTGCATGTTTACAGTTTGCACAAGAGCACCTGGATGTTCCACAGCAGTACTGGCAAAATATTCTGTGGACAGATGAAACCAAAGTTGAGTTGTTTGGAAGAAACACACAACACTATGTGTGGCGAAAAAAAGGCACAGCACACCAACATCAAAACCTCATCCCAACTGTGAAGTATGGTGGTGGGGGCATCATGGTTTGGGGCTGCTTTGCTGCGTCAGGGCCTGGATGGATTGCTATCATCGAAGGAAAAATGAATTCCCAGGTTTACCAAGACATTTTGCAGGAGAACATAAGGCCATCTGTCTACCAGCTGAAGCTGAACAGAAGATGGGTGTTGCAACAGGACAATGACCCAAAGCATAGAAGTAAATCAACAACAGAATGGCTTAAACAGAAGAAAATACGCCTTCTGAAGTGGCCCTGACCTGAACCCGATTGAGATGCTGTGGCATGACCTCAAGAAAGCGATTCACACCAGACATCCCAAGAATATTGCTGAACTGAAACAGTTCTGTAAAGAGGAATGGTCAAGAATTACTCCTGAATGTTGTGCACGTCTGATCTGCAACTACAAGAAACGTTTGGTTGAAGTTATTGCTGCCAAAGGAGGTTCAACCAGTTATTAAATCCAAGGGTTCACATACTTTTTCTACCTGTACTGTGAATGTTTACATGGTGTGTTCAATAAAAATATGGCAACATTTCCTTCTTTGTGTGTTATTAGTTTAAACAGACTGTGATTGTCTATTGCTGTGACTTAGATGATGATCAGATCACATTTTATGACCAATTTGTGCAGAAATCCATATCATTCCAAAGGGTTCACATACTTTTTCTTGCAACTGTATGTATATATATATATATATAGCAATTGAGTTGTGGTGGGGAAAAAAGTGTAGATGAAAACCCCTTCCACCTGAAGTAAGTGGATAGTTAATACATTGCTAAACACAAATACACACACCAGTCAAGTCATAAGACTTGCTTTTTCCACAGAAATCTCACTTTAACAGTGCTCTCACTACTGCAAGGGTTTCTGGGTATGGTCCACATTTGATCTTGAGAAAGACCTGAATAGGTCAAAACGTTGATCATTCATTTTCTGCACAAATAAACCTGAAACACAATATTAAGTCCAGAAGTGCATTTATATACATCGCAGGTTTGCACCATGGCAGAAACATTTTGTCTATACTTATAGGAAGAGTGCCAAACTTACTTGTATTTGAACATATATGGGAGCATATACATCATGAGTTAGCTCTGCCCCTTACAGCCGATAGGACAGAAAAAACACCAAAGGCTTTAACAGGAGGCTCCATTCCTAAGGTTCTCAGTCTTTTTCCTGTCCTACAGCCCTTACGATGTGAGCATTTTGCTCCCTTTACTTATGGAAAAATTTGGAATTTGATGTATATATTTTACCTGTTTTCAACTTTCTTCAAGGTAATTCAAAAGGAGACAGTGGAAGGCCACGTCGACTCTAAATTCCTCTGATGAGTAAGATGAATCTGGAACTTCCAAGGGAAATTCCAGTACATTCAGACCTATTACAAGGTCACTTGACACACCAAATCCTCAAGTTCTGGTGTTGATGCAGAAGTCTCTATAAGTATAGGCATCCCTGAAACGATCGTCAAGGTCTTCTTACAGTCCTATAAATACTTTACAAACCTTGGCATGCATTTGTCTGTTGGTCTCAAAAATAGATGTTTGAAGTACTCCTCATTCAGGCATAGAAAGGGTCTGAGTTATAATACTCACTCTAGAGGAGCACATATCTGCACTTTCCACGTTGATGGGTGCCCATTGAACATTGGAGCTCTTGGTGCTTTACTTCATGTAAGCGTCACGTCCTGTTCCTGTTGCGGATCATTTCTGGCCATGGCTTCTGGTATCCAGTACTCTTTTTACAATTCTTGTTTAGTTTTTCTGGTTTTCTATTCTGTCTGGTTTTCTGTATGTTGGGTTTTCTGGGTTCATTCCTTTATTCCATTCCAGTCTCTTGGATTCCTTTACATGTTTGATTTATGTTGCCACACCCATTCCTTTGCCATTAATCCTTTTGTTTCAGTCTGTTCCTGCAGTCAGTGGTTTAATTTCCTCTGTCCTTTTCTTAGCAGTACTGTGTGTGTTTTATTGTTTTTTTAGTCATGCATATCTAGGCAGTTAGAACCCACCGTAATTGGAGTACTTTGGCGCAGTGGTGGGCTGCATCCATCTTGGCCATTTATATATGTCTAATTCTCCAATGTTTTACTTAGTTATGTCTCCTCTTGTTTTGCCTTATATCTCTTGTCTTGTTTTATTTTGTATTCCCAATCCATGTACAGTCCTGTCCTGCCCATGTTCTGTTAATGTTTCCCTTATGTATTGTGTACATGTTCTGGGTTCTGCTTTTTATCCTTCTCCAGTTCTGGGTTCTTCTAGTTTTGTCTTGTTTTCTTGTTTGGTGCCTATTCTAGTCTTACCTTGTTTCTAGTAATAGATACAAATTAGCATAACATCTAGCTCCTGGCATCCTTATAAGCTACATCAGGGTTCTGGTAAGTGTCCTCACAAACGCTGGTGCTCAACAACAGGGGGCAAGTGGTTACCCAGCACCAGGCCCTAATTGTCCACTTCAACACTGTGGCTCCTATCATTTACATCAGGCACACAGGGGTCCTGGTCTTCGGACCGCCACCCATGACAGTGACGTACCACTGGTTTAACAGGCTTTGACTAAACCATCATTCGAACCTCTAGCAGGAGCTTCGATGGTGGTAGCACAGAAAGTGTTATTGCTGATGGCTGGTACCTCTGCAAGGAGAATGTGTGGACTCCAGGCTTGGTCCTGTGAACCCCCATTCACTAATTTTCAACAGAATATGGTTGTCTTGCATTTAGCACCAGAGATCCTGTGTAAGGTGAAAGCTTATGCTGCCACTATGCGGAAGGAATGTCCTGAGTAATGATTTGCATTTAGGCCCATTCTGGTTAAGAGCAAACGGACATGGAGCATGAATTTGGCAGAGGTAGGAGTGTAACCATGTAGCTCTAATAGTGGTTGAAGTGGTTGTTTGTGAAAGGTATCGAAGTATGCATCCAAAACTTTACCCGAACACCATTTGTTGTAGGTAGGGAAAAGGGGTATGTCAACAGTGCGTACCCTTTGGCTGGTTTTGGAATGGTAAAGAGACAGAATATAATGGTCTCTGGATTTGTAAATATCTGCTATTTTAAGGTAGTCTGTGGTGGCAATATTGCTGGAGGTAAATTCCCCTGGATGTAGGAATCCGTAAAAGGCCAGACAGATGGCTGTTTAATTACCATGTTGGTTCTATGTTCGAATCGTGCAGTATCTAACAGGTCGTATAATGACTGGAAGATTTTGTTGTGGATGGGTAATCTTTTAGGGGGTAGGTATGTTTGTGCCTGTTGGGCTGCCTCCAGCAGTGTCTTTATCTGGTAAGATGAAAGGAAACTGGTTTTGTCGGGGTGTTGTAACAACATGTTGTGTTGTATGCCCATTAAATACAATTTGATAGTGTTAAAAGATAACTTTAAATTAAAGTGGCAAAAAGCAAGCGAACACCAACATGGTCTCCAAAGCAAAAGTGTCCCGAACCTGAAATTCCGCCACAAATCTGGTAAAAATGTGAAATGCCCTATCGTAGGTTTTCCTGGAGCTGACAGAAAGTGCCAAGTGGGATAGAGTGTGAGCCTGGGTCCACAGCGTAGTCAATCCAGGAGCATGTCCCAGAATAGAGGCCAGGGGTAGCCGTGCTGGAAGCGGTGTGTAGAGCCTGGAGGAAAGCCTGGAAGTGAAAATGATACAAGCGGTCAGCAGCAACATTTTGTCAGGGTACCTGTTGGTGCTGAATCCAGGGAAGACATCCTCTCTGTTTAGGGGCTCCCTGCCCCTAGCATTTCGGCATATTCCGGCCGTTTTCGCGCCGGCCGCGCTAGCTCCTCCCCCTTTTATGACGCGACGGCTAGCGTCGACGTCATGACATCGGCATTTACAGAAAGTGCCGGGAACCGCTATTCCGGACCTTTTGGGGGCGTGGTCTCTATTTAGGTAACAGGGTATTTAAAGGAAACCTTTACTACTGCTCATTGCCCTGTCGTGGTTCTAGCTTGCTAGTCACTCAGCGCGTTCTTTATCTTGTGTTTCCGGTTTTGACCCTTGCTTGTCTTTTGTCCTGTTGTCCTCTCCTCTCCTTTGACTCGGCTTGTATCTCGCTTACCTGTCCTCCGGCTCCCTCGACCTCGGCTTACCTTTTGACTATTCTTGCTTTGTCCCTACGTTAGTCCGGCCATTCTAAGGTCCGGTATACGTACCTCCTTCTGTCCGCACTCTGCGTATTGGATCCCTGTCAGTATCCTGACACATTTGTGACGCCTGGGAGATTAATACAAGGGATAAAAAAAATCTGCTGGCCACCACCCATGTGAATCTCCTCAAAAACTTCATAATAACTAGGGAGGAGGACTGGCCCCTATTGACGATGTGGAAAGTGGCCAGGTTGTCAAAATGGCATCTGACAGAGCGACCGGCCCAATCTGACCCCCATGCATTAGCAGTGGCCACAATGGGGTACAGTTCAAACAAGGCCGACATAGTAGAGAAGCCGGGGCAGGGACCCAAACTCCCTAGGCCACGGACCCCAGAGCCATTTGTCACCGCAGATAGTCGTGAAGCTAGTGCTGGCCACCGCATTATTCCAGAGGGTGTGTGAAGAGTCGGAAATAGGGGGGCTGAACATGGCGTGCCCATTCCAAGAAGGAAAGTGTGCCACATGCATAAATCGGCAGTCATGTGTTTTTCAATCATGGTGCGTGAGTCGTCAGAGTGGAGGTTTGGAAATAAGGCCAGCAATCGTGAAATTAAAAATCTGCCCTCGGGAATGATTCTCATGGCAAAATTGAGCGACCCCAGCAAGGACTGAAGTCCTCTCCGGTTGCAAGAACACAGATGTAAGCATAACTCAATGCTAGCAAGGGAGCGCTCAATCTTTTTGCGGGGAAGACTGGTGCGCATGTGGACTGAATCATGTTGAATCCCCAGAAAACGGATAACAGTGTCCAGGCCTTCCGTATTTTTAGGTTTTTTTTTTAAGGGGAGACCAGAATTCCCAAGGATTCAGGGTCGGACATCTGCATACATTATTACAAACAAATAGTGAGCCGCACTTCGTAATTAAAAAGGATTATACATACAATCAACGGAGGAGAATAATTGTGAGACATATCTTTAACAAAGAAATGTACAATAGTGTAATAGTGTAAGAAATGCAATAGATATGAAGACAGTGCCAATAGAACACTCACTTTCCAGAGCTTCAATTAGCTCTATTATTGCGCGCCAGGACTGAACAATCCTGGTCCTTGTCCATGAGCAGCAGTCAGTAATATATGTGGAGGGAAGCACAGATAGAAAAAACAATGGTGTAGTCCAATTATAAAATGAACATATTATACAGGTAAGTATTCTAGGAGCACTTGGGTGGAAGGATTCTAAAAAAAAACATGTCAAGTGAGGTTTCTGGACTTTCAATTCCACTGACTTCCACGGACTGCTTTATATTTATGGCTTATTTTGTTAGTACCCATTTTTTTTATCACTTTTATCACAAAATGCTCCAAGCATTAAGCAAATCGCTAGTTCCCGGTTCATAAAAATGTTTTACTTTTTTATGAATGGGGAGCTACTGACTGGCTTAGAGAGCCAGCTGACCGCTCTAGCCAATCAGCGACACCCCTATCCAGCGGCCCTCTGTGCTTCCTGACACTCAGTAAGTAAAAGTGAACATAATAACACTAATATTTTTTTTACCTGGGGAAATGAGAAGGTCAAAAGTTTCCCTGACAGGCCCTGGTACCAAAGCCTTATGATGTGGTGTCCAGAATAAAGTGGAGGGTTCACATCACTTCCTTCCTGCTCCAATCTCCTTTTCTTCTCCTTCATTTGATACAGTCTTCTTTTTCTTCTGACAATGTCTTCTCTCCTCCTTGGCTCCTTCTGCATCTTTACCTTTCTGCTTATTTTGTACCCTTCTGCTCCTTTCTCTTTCTGATCCATTTCTGCTCCTTCTCCTACTTTACCTTTGTGCTCTTTGCTGTCCCTTTCTGCTTCTTGCTACCCTGTTCTGCTCCTTCTCCTACTTTACCTTTGTGCTCCTTCTGATTCTTTGTGCTCCTTTACCTTTGTGCTCCTTCTGTCCCTTTCTGCTCTTTGCAGACCCTTCCTTCTCCATGCAGTCCCTTCATGCTCCTTGCAGACCCTTCCTGCTCCTTGCAGAACCTTTCTGCCCCTTACTGCTAATTTCTGCTCCTTCTCCTACTTTACGTTTGTGCTCCTTCTGCCCCTTTCTGCTCCTTCTGTCCCATCCTGCTCCTTGCTGCCCTTTCCAGCTCATTGCTGACCCTTTCTGCTCATTCTACTTTACATTTGTGCTGCTTTACCTTGCAGCTCCTTGCTGACCCTTCCTGCTCCTTGCAGACCCTTCCTGCTCATTTCTGTTCTTTTGTGCTCTTTCTTCTACTTTACCTTTTGTGCTCCTTGCTGTCCCTTCCAGCTCCTTCCTGCTCATTTCTGTTCCTTCTCCTTCCTGCTCCTTCTCTTACTTTACCGTCCTGCTCCTTGCTGACCCTTCCCTCACTTATCTGATCTATAATCTGCCTTCCCCCCATCCCTCACTTACCTGATATATAGGCTGTCTGCCCCTCCATCCCTCACTTACCTGATCTGTAGGTGGATCCCCCCATCTCTCACTTACCTGATCTGTATGCTGCACCCCCATTTCTCACTTACCTAATCTACAGACTGTCTCTCCCCTCCATCACTTCCCTGATCTGGAGGCTGCCCCCCATGCCCCACTTCCCTGATCTATAGGCTGCCCCATGCCTCACTTCCCTGATCTATGGGTTGCCCCCCATGCCTTACTTCCCTGATGTATTGGCTGCCCCCCCATGCCTCACTTCCCTGATCTATAGGCTGCCCCTCATGCCTTACTTCCTTTATCTATAAGCTGCCCCCATGCCTCACTTCCCTGATCTATAGGCTGTCCCCCATGCCTCACTTCCCTGATCTATAGGCTGCTCCCCCACACCTCATTTCCCTGATCTGTAGGCTGTTCCCCCATGCCTCACTTCCCTGATCTATAGGCTGCCCCCATGCCTCACTTCCATGATCTATATGCTGCCCCCCCATCCCTCACTTACCTGTACTGTAGTCTGCCCCCCATCCCTCACTTTTCTGATCTATAGGCTGCCCCCCCTAAACCTCAGTTCCCTGATCTATAGGCTGCACCCCATGCCTCACTTCCCTGATCTATAGGCTGCCCCTGCCATTTTTTACTTCCCTGATCTATAGGCTGCACCCCTATGCCTCACTTGCCTGATATGTAGGCTGCCTCTGCTGGCCCCCTGCAGTTTCAGTCAGCAGAGAGAAGCAATGATAAGATGTAGCTTCCTGTCTCTCGGTATTGCAGTGCATTTTCAATCCCGCATGAAAAATAGCAGGACAAGCTAAAAATAATCCAGGGGATGCCCCCCTTACCCCTCCTGCAGACACCCATGCCTATATATGATCCTGTAAGTTTCCAAAACACTATAAAAACTATACATGGGGAATACGGTATAATTGTGAGACATTGCTGAATACAAATATCTATATATTATTGACATTCACAGTTAATATGACATGCAGAACTTGGAAAACAACTACATTTATTAATACCTTGTTTTATATTTTATTAATATTAAATGATGTTTTATATATAAATATTTGATATGAAATGAAAGTTCTGTTTTTCCTGAACAAAATGATGTATAATAAAAAAGAGGTAAATTATGGTTGAACAATTTTGATCAGAACTTGTACAATCGGCTGCGTCCTTAAGGGGTTAAACATTTACTTTAGGTAAATAAGACATATTGCAATTATTTACTGGGGAAAAAGTTTTGAACTGAAGTTTATCAACCTCTTCTTTTATATTGACAGGGAATCTTGTGTCTTTGTGAGATCAGTGGCATGTTCAGCATGACTCCACTTGGTTATCTTTTTCTACTGTGCCTCCTGGCTCCTGCAAATACAGACTTTGTGATAAACGGATTAAGAAACATTCAGGTATGTTTATTTTAATCATTTTTTTATTTTTTATTTTTATTGAAAGAAAATATATATCCATACACCCCCCCATACGTCTTATACATACTGACAAAACAAATACACCAAATGTATATGAGCCTTAGAAAGAAAGATAAAAAAATCGTTAAAATACATAATTTTTCTTTTCTATTTTTATATATAAATTATCCAGGGTTACTTTCTAATATTGTAACCAATATTTGGAGGCATGATTCCCTCAGTAGTCTAATTATGTATATTGTTCAGCCATCCAATACCATTCTCTATTTTTAATTGGAGGATTATTTGGTCTTTCCAACCATTAGTTTGTTGTTTCCAATTTCTAGCGAGTTGACGTGTTGCTGCCATAAAACAGTGAATTGTAATATATTGTTGATCTTTCTTCAAAGTTGGTCAGAACAAATGTTACAGAGCGGTTTGGGGAGACCTCTGTATTTTGATATTATCATAGTTGATTAAAAATTTGAAAACCCATTCCCAGAGCATTTTGGCACCTTAAAAACTCCACCACACGTGTATATAATTACCCATGGATGCTTTGCATCTCCTGCATGTATTAGAGACAATAGGGTCTATCTTATGCATTTTTGTGGGGACCAAATATCATCTATTTACTACTTTCAATTAGGTTTCAGATAATACGAGATTATGAATATGTTTATTAACTTTAATTAGTGCTCCATACCACTCCAGAGTTTATTACAATATTTAGTTCTTCTTCCCATTTCTTAATCGCTACTGGCTTTTCTATAATTGTTGTCATTTGTACAAGCTTACAACAGTTAGCTATTATCTTATCCTTTTTTCACCTGGCCAAACATTTTTGTGTATAAGATCACCCAACTCAATTGGTCCTTTATAAATATGGTCCATTATATATGATTTAACTTGCAAATAGGTAAACATGTCTGAGTTTGTTAGAACCAGTTCCTTTATCAAAGAGGGATAATAATATCTGATATCTTATAATATTTATTTTGTTCCAGTTGGAAATCGATATGTCTCCTATTAGATTGTTAATGGCTGCTAACTCTATGAAACCAAAGATTGTATTCCTTATTTACATTTATTCCTTATCCCTGCCCATACTGTAAAAATGTGTGTGAGCATTTTATTTTCTTTTAAGTCATTCCTCTCTCTTTGTCATATAGCTCAGACTAACCGCTACCTCACATACCTGTCTCTTGCTCTCTCCTAAAGGGCAGCACTCTACTCTCTCCTCCAGCTCTACTTCACTCCCACCTAATTTGACTACTATTTCCTGTCCTAATGTGTTTTATACCCCACCTCCTATAGCCTGTAAGCTCGTTTGAGCAGGGCCCACTTCAACCTACTGTTTCTATAAGTTTTCTTGTAATTGTCCTATTTATAGTTAAATCCCCCCTCTCATAATATTGTAAAGTGCTACAAAATCTGTTGGCGCTATATAAATGGGGATGATAATATTAATAATAGCTTAAATAATGTCTCCCTTATCTAGAGCCTCCCTAACTATTTTAAACCATCCCTCTTTTTTCCCATTTTTCTTTGGTTAGCAACTATAAATGGTATATTGCGTTAGCCTCATAATAACGTCTAATATGGGGGAAAATTACTCACCCCTTGTTCATTCTATTACTTATACAACCCAATCCGATACAAGGTTTTTTACTCCTCCAGACAAAATTATCATGTCCAGCCAGCTATTTGGTATTTTTAGTGGGAGTATTCTAAAAAGAAATGTCCACAGTGGGAGAATATATGTTTTTATTACATTGATTTTCCCCATCAAACATTTTTTTAATTAAATTTGTAATTTTTAAGGTTTTTACAAAATTGATTCCCAAAATTCTATTGATATCTTTAGTTACCATTATACCTAAATAATTGAATACATTTTTTTTTTTAATTCTTTATTTTTGCCCAATTTTCTAAATACTTTCATTAGTCCCTAGCCTTATCTTATAGTTAGGATAGCCTTATGCCTATCCCATGCATGCTTAAACTCCTTTACTGTGTTAACCTCTTCAGCTGGAAGGCTATTCCATGCATCTCAGTAAAGTAATACTTCCTGATATTATTTTTAAACCTTTTTCTCTCTAATTTAAGACTATGTCCTCTTGTTGTGGTAGTTTTTCTCCTTTTAAATATAGTCTCCTCCTTTACTGTGTTGATTCCCTTTATATATTTAAATGTTTCTATCATATCCCCCCGTCTCGTCTTTCCTCCAAGCTATACATCCTTTAACCTTTCCTGGTAAGTTTTATCCCGCAATCCATGAACCAGTTTAGTAGCTCTTCTCTGAACCCTCTCTAAGGTATCAATATCCTTCTGAAGATACGGCCTCCAGTACTGTGTACAATACTCCAAGTGAGGTCTCACCAGTGTTCTGTACAATGGCATGAGCACTTCCCTCTTTCTACTGCTAATACTTCTCCCTATACAACCAAGCATTCTGCTAGCATTTCCTGCTGCTCTATTACATTGTCTGCCTACCTTTAAGTCATCAGAAATAATCACATTAAGCGTGACATGGCATATGAATAGACAGCACAATTTTTGTTTATGATGATAATAGGGAGAGACAGTGGGGAGAGACAAGATGTAATTTAAGGTTCTAGCTTTTCCCACTGTCTATATTGGTAATGTAGGTTAAGGTTCAACAGTTAAAGTACAAGTTAGGTAAATTATAAGTTTAATGTTTATATATGAACAGGCTCAAGTAGTTCAACGCTTATGGTGCGTGCTAGGCATAATACAAATATGATGCTTAGATATGTATAGGCTAAGACATATTACATTGCAGGCAGTTTCATTTCTTAACAATACAGTGTCATAACATGTTGGGTTTGCCTATTTTAACCTAGAAAGAAGTGCTTATTCAGGATGTGGACGTAGCGTGTTAATAATAGGCTTAATCAATTACCCCATTGCTATCTGAGGCTTAACAGTGTACAATTAGTGTATAGTAACCGCAGGTTTTCTATTTAAGGGTGGAGAGGGTGAGACAGGTATGTGGCTCTCGACAATATACGCTTAGTGACTTGTTGTTTGCTGTCTGCTAGCTACAGCCTCGTCTTCAGTAGAAGCAAACTGACAAACTTAGCTGATGGGTGGTGCGCTTTCTGGTCACTTTAGTGGAGTGCAGCTCTTCGTGCCGTGTAGGGCGTCAAATTAGAGTGTTCTTCTCTGTCCCTTTGTCGTCTGTGGTCATTTAGACGTTCGGTATACCTGGGGGCTATTTACTGCAACGGGCAAGGTAGTGACCCCAGAACCGTGGCAAAAGATGGGGCTTATGACATTCCGTTTCAGGAATTGTCGTGTCAGTTCTGCGCGTCTGAGCCTATCTAGGCGGTAGCGGTTAGTGAAGGGGGAATCGCGTGCATGGGGCTACACGGGAGCTTGCTGTGCCACTCCATCATTAATTAGTAGTAGTCTGTCAGGTAACGTGGGGCAGTATTATGGTAGGCAGAAAGATTTCATGGTGTCATATTCGAGGGATAACAGATGAAACAATGAGACATATCCAGCTGCGCTAGAGCCCTAGTGATGGTCGGGGATGGGGCAACCGGGTGCCCAAGTACATTAGAAGTGTGTTGGTCTGTTAACTAATTGAAGGGATCATGTCTGCGAGCATCACCGGGTTAAATCTAGTTATGGGAGCGTGGTTGGGCAAGAGGACCAATAACTGTAACAATAACATAAAACAAACTTTAGATACCAGATTAGGTAGGCCTCTCTTGAGATGTGCAACTAGTATATAGGAAATGACAGGCAGGGCAATCCTCGGTTGGGGGGAGTTATCTCCTAATTTACCTTGTTGTTTCAAAGAGGAGGACTAGTGCCTATTTTGTACGCTAGCACACAGTTAGATTTACCTCTTTCAGAGGTGTATTACAGGGTAAGTGTCCATCCATCAGGGATTATGAGATCTCATATTTACTTTTAGGCAGATTGTGGTATACGTTATTGAATATATTTTTGTCCACCGTCTTTTTTAGTGCTGAGATACTCCATGTCCGACCAACAGGTCGACTCTTTACCGTTCCGTATGTCTTTCAGGTAGTGAGTGCCACGTAGGGGTCGGGTGTGTGACCTGTCGGCACAAACGGGATGGATCTTGCCAGATCCCATGGGTGTTGAGGAGGTGTAGCACTCTCTTGGCCTGTCTGTGCGAGGGAGTCTGGTGGTAGGCCCAGTGACTGTAAAAGCGACGTTGCGTCGCTCAGTTCCTTGATCTGATGGGTGTCCGTCTCCTGCTGTACAGTGAGTGTGCGGGTCATTTGCAATCGATACTTGAGGTCTCTTTGGCGGGGAAGCGTGGTAAGAGGCTGGAGGGAACGTCGCCAAGCCAGGGTGCCTCTCGAGAGATCGGAGAAGAAGTTTAAAGCCATCCCTTCAAATTGGAACGGCGTCTTTCCCCTCAAGGCATTCTGGACTGCTGTTTTGTCTATTCTGGTTTGGAAGGTAATTATGACATCTCGTGTAGCCCCGGTCGGCGCCGTTGGCGGTTTGGGGATCCTGAAAATTTGTTTTGTTTTTTCGCCCCATGTCATTCGGAGGGGGTGTAATGCGTCTTTGTGGTGATTTGGGGATACCCAGCCTGGGTTCTTCCCCTGTTTTTCCCGTTTTTCTCACGGAGCTTTCAGCCCTTGCGACTGCTTGTCTCGGTTGATCATAATTGAATACATTTTTAACCTCTGTAAAGTTGTATTGTCCAAGAATATTTTTTTTTTTAGACATTAATTCTGGAAAAAGGAGCAACAGTTTTGTCTACGTTTCTTTTATAATTTGAAACCATGCTGAAATATAAGATTTCTTTCATGAGTTGATGAACAGATGCAACGGGAAACACAGTTTTAATTCTCCTGATTTAATTGGAAATTTTATCTTTTGTTATTTTGATTAGATCTTATTTCAATTGCCATAATTTCCAACGTTATTATATATAGAATTAGCGAAAGTGGGCAGCTCTGACGGGTACCGTTGTTTAATTTAAGCCAGTCCAAGTACATATCCACCCCCACTACTCTTGTTTACGGATAATGTTACATTGATTACCTTTAAAACCACCCTTCATATTTCCAATGCTTCTAATGTTTTAAACATGTATCCCTATCCGACCCTGTTGAATTCTTTTTCTGCGTCTACCAACAGGGTCAGAAGGGGTATGTTATTTTTCTCCCCTGTTTCCATCACATTTGTCAGTCATTTCGTATTGAAACAAGCCTGTCTCTTGCGGACAAAACCTATATGGTCTTCATGTACTATGTCTGGCAATATTAATTGTATTATGTCCGCGATAATCGCAGAGAATAGTTTTGAATCCACATTAATTAATAAAATGGGACGGTAATTTATTTTCAAATGTTTTTCATTATAGATAAATTTGTTTCCATAACAATAAGAATAATGATATAATATGAATATATATATGTAAATAACATACAAACATAAAACAAACCAAAAACAGAAAAACAAATAACTGGGGAATACATTTTAGACATATCATCCGATACAATATGTAATAAGTAATGTTTTTTTTTCAAAAAAGTATAATAAGTTATTGTTATTATGTTACGTGCAACAATGTGCTTAAAATAAGATTATATAAATAACTTTGTTATCTGGTCAGGTGAAGTTATACATTATAATTTATATCGATTCTTGACATCCCGTTCCCATTCATATTTCAGAACATTAACTGTATGGGAAGGTGGTCTAAAGGCTAATTCGTATCTCTTGGTTTCTAGAATATTATGCAACACCTCAGTCATAGAAGGAATAGTAGCTTTTTTCCAATATCGAGGAAGGACAGAAGTAACTGAAAACAGGACATGGATTAAAATAATTATTTTATTTTTGGGCAATTCATCTGGGAATCCCTTCAGGAGACACAATTCTAGTGTTATAATGGGGATTTGATCAGTGATGAGTTTAGAGTGTGAACATCTTCCCAATACTGTTTTAATTTAGGGCAAGACCAAAAGACATGATAGAGAGTACCAACTTGACTGCACTCCCTCCAGCATGCTTTAAAACTCTTTCTGCTTTAAAACTTCTATCTCTCTGAGATAGTTGCAATTTAAAGTCTAGAGGGAGTCAGATACCATCTGTATAAAAGTTTGTAATGAGATTCCAAAAGCGCCACAGACCATGTAATACTGTGTAATGCCATCAGAATCTCATGTCATTACTCCACTTTAAATTTATTTTTCAGTTCGTTTTCCCATTTTGTCATATAGTTTTGGACCAGATACCCCAGCAAAATAAGTATAGGACATCGAGATGGTACATTTCCGACCAGGATTTTAATGATACAATTTTTTTAATAATGACATTATAACTTTACGTATAATCAGATCCTGATCAGACACATTAAAATGATCACTAAGCAAATCCACCATCTGTCTCTGCATCAGGACTTCCGAGGTGTCCAGACCAAACTTGGTCTGTAATTGATCAAAAGGTAAAAACTTATTAGACAAAAATAAATCATTAATATATATCTGACAGAATGGGAAAGCCAATATTCCACATCTAGATCAGGTAACGCAGATTGCAACACTGACAAGTGTTGATCGTTTTATACAAGACATCCCAAGCCTTAATAGTGACTTTGGTAGTCGGAAACATGGTCCCCACCCGCGGCCGTTGGGACAGACGCAACCTTAGCACTTATTTTATTAAATGAGGAAGAATTTTTGTAGCCTCCATCTCAAGTCACAGGGTGCATCCATGATCCAGATTAAATTTAAGAGCATTGGCCTCATTAGTCGCAAAATAATGAATACAGTTTGGCACACCCATACCTCCACTAACGCTGAGCTTTTGTATGATGGGCAATTGAATTCTGCAAGGCTTCCTATTCCATATAAATGTCAGAAGAGCAGAATGAACCTTTCTAAAAAAGGATAATGGTGTAGTGAGGGGGATTGCTCTAAGGAAATATAAAATTTGGGGAAGGAGAGTCATTTTAACCGAATTTAATCTACCTAACATAACATTTCAAAACCACACCATCTATCAATGTCCTCCTTAAATGCAGGCCAGACCTTTATTATTAATATGCATCTTCGGCATATTTTTACATAGATTAATGCCCAAATAAGACATATATGATTCTCTCCAGTCAAAGTCAAATTCATCTTTTAGAATATCCAATTCATGGGATAAAGAAGGAAAGTGCCAGTGTTTTATTTGTATTGAGTTTGTAATAAGGAATGTTGCCAAATTCTTGCAAGACAGACATTAATTAATGGTGGAACTGAGGTCAAAGGATTGTTGCTTTATGTTGGAATTCTAGATATTCATATGTCTCCTCCATTTCCATCGTTGATGCTAATGCTTCTGTTGTTTCAGCAGAACTGAACAATTTTGGATTTCTGCTTTAAAACTTCGATCTCTTTTTCTCGATTTATTTTAATAAATTCTTGAAGGTTACTCATGGAATTCCTTCTTCCCTCTGTTATTGACTACTCCATCATGGAGGTCTCTTTTATAGATTTGCTTTGTGACTCTTTATTTCATGAAGGAGAGAAAAAGGACACACTTTTATCTTGTTTGGGGTCTCTCTTCTCCCTCTTTTTTAGATTTTTTTCTCATTTGCCACATTAGCATTGTTCATTGAAGCCCTGGCCATAGCAATTATTACTCATGCAGCTTTGCTTTTTCTTATATTTTCCTTTCTCTTATCTGTTTTATTTCCTTCCTCCTTCCACTTTTCCTTCTCTTTCCTCCTCTTCTTATTCTCTTTTTTTTTTTTGTGCTAGGAGTACACTGTTTAGTGAAATTGTACTCTTATCCTTTTCCCCTTAAATATTAATTATGCCAAAACATAAGCAAAACAAAAACAACGCTTTTGATTAATGTAAATGTTGTGATGTCACATCTGGGCAGAACATATTGAGGGGAGGAGGCGGCAAAAAATGGTTTTGCCTAGGGCACCAAAAATACCTGCATCGGCCCTGAGTGTACCCACACTTATTAAATATAATTTTTTTTATATGAAACAAGGCTTTCATTTTACATACAATATATCATTTAATTTGAATACAATCTTAAAAAGTGTGAAATAGTAAGAAATTTTACTATTTTCCAACTTCTGCATGGCATTTTAACTGTGAATGTTAAACTGCTCTCAGCTTTTACTGAAATAAAACAGACACATTTGTATGCTGTGTTGTCCTACGAAAACAACAATGCAGTGGCGGCTCTAGACAAGAATTTGTGAAGCCTTAATGGGGGCCTCATGTTTGAGTTTCGCCTAACACCCAAAGTGGGGGAAAAAATAGGGGTTGCATTGTGTGTGTATAAGGTGCTGTAATTGTATTGAAGGACAAGCTTGCAGCGCTGGATAAAGAGAGCTAGTCTCTGTATTCATTGTTCAGAGGCTTGCAGTGTTGCGGCTCCCTGTGTTGTGAGCTCTCCAACTGTAGTTATCGCATAATTTGCAAACTAAATTAATTTGCAATAAACAAATTTAATTAGAAATTATGCTTCTGCCCCTATGTACAGGTATCATTATGGTTTTGAAAGTTACAGGGTCAAATAAAGAGTTTGCCCATTGCAATATTACACTTTGACATTTGCCAGATTGGTTTGCTGGGCCTATGTTGCCTTTGAGACTGTATTTAAGCCCAAGAATTAAAGGACCACTATAAGCACCCAGCCCAGTTCAGCTGGGTGGTCTGGGTGCCTGGTCCCCCTAGTTTTAACCTAGTTTTAACCCTGCAGCTGAAAACCTAGCAGTTTCAGAGAAAGTGTTATGTTTACACTGCAGCAGGGTTTATCCAGCCTCTAGTGACTGTCTCCCTGACAGCCACTAGAGGCAGCTTCCGAGATTTACACTGAGTAAATTGCACTTATTTGATGTCCTCACGGAGTCCAGCATCAAAAAAGATCCCCATAGGAAAGCATTGAGTAATGCTTTCCTATGGGCGGGTTTGAATGCATTCGCGTCCACTCGGGAGCTGACGTCGGCGGTGGAGGAGAGGTCACCAGCACTGAGGAAGCACGGCGCTGGATTAAGGTAAGTGGCTGAAGGGATTTTAACCCCTTTAGCGCCAAGGGAGGGGTCACTCCAAGAGCCTATAGTGCCAGGAAAACGGGTTTAATATATTTATATAATTCTAATGTATCTTATATATAAATATACTATTTTATTAACTATATAATTATATGTTGGGGTACCTGCCTGACCACCCAGGCAGAAATAACAGAGAATTTAATTAGCAAATCCTATGTTTAACCCTGTAAATTACAAAACCCAATAAAACCTGCTTTCCAGTGTGTTTGGCAAGTCGGGAGTAAGAGACTTCGCTAGACTTGTCGTGAATCGGGCTGTAGTTGGCTTTGAGTTAATTTCAGGGTAGTGGAGGAGCTCATCCAAGGTGTGTCTTTCCTCCATTCCTGAGAACACTTGGAGATTTTTACTCACCTGCAATTTAAAACTGAAAACCCTTATTATCCAACAGGAGTCTGACAGGATAACAATTTATCTTAGCCTTGCCTTGGTTTATGGCTTAAGAGTTAATATTCATGCGCTGTGGGATGATAAGTAAATAAAATAAATAGGTTCAAGCAAGTTTGCTCTTCCTAGTGATCCCCACTCAATGCTCCTTTACACATTTACCTATTTATGTTGACTGAGTTAATAAAAAATGGTATACAAATATGTAAAAGCTATCTAGGAGAGAAATATAAATATAGTGTAACACAGCTTGAAGCAAAGTGTAGGGGAAGGGGAGGTAGAGAACTATAGTGGTATTATCCACAAGTGGTGTCTTTCTCTAATAGATATCTTGTGAAAAAAAAATTCTATTGATTTCAAGGAGAAAGAAAATATGCAATACTGTATGGTAAAAAAAACTATTTAATGGACAAATGCACTACAACAGATAAGGTAAAACTGCATACATCCACAGCAAGTGAATCTCAGGAAACTGGTAAACAGCTAGCAGTTCCACAGATATAGGGTAATAGAAGTAGAAGGTAAGTAAAAGCAAATCTAAAAGATAAAAAATTGTAACTGAAAAGTCCAACAGTCCAAAACATTTTGTCTCATTTAAGGGATTTCTACAAGGATGTGTCTGACTTCAGCAATGTCCTCCTTAAATAGGTAATGTTGATTGAAGAATCGATCTCGGCTGATTTCGGTGTGCGTTCCATCCTGGAACACAAATACCTTTTTCATATTTACTATATCAGTTTGGCTGGAGGAAATGATGCTTGTGTTCCACCTTCTAAGATGGCGGATACTGCTTGCATTCTATTATATGGTGATCTCAATCAGCTAATAATAATAATAATAATAATCTGATCTTCCTAACCAATACTTATTAAATACCATAAAGAACATAAAGGTGTGATATATCCATGAGCATTGTTTTTATAAGCTGAATGAAATCGGAAAAACTAATATACTTATAACTGAATAAATACATAAAATTAAAAATGGATGGTAATTAAAGTAATAAGAATAATAATAATACATTAAAAAAATTACAAAGGCTTGACAAAGACCTCAGTGGAGGTCGAAACATTGCAGTGCACATGATGGTCCAATAAACTGCCTTATCTCTGAACTCAGTGAGTGCCTGAGGCTTTTTCCTTGATATATAAGCCTCCAAGTATAGACTCGTACAAGGATTGATAACAAAATGCATGCCAAACTCCTATCACCCACTCAGAGTTGTTTCAAGTGGTCCTGGCAGTACTCCACTCCAACACAGGCACAAGCAGCAAGGTTAAACACATAGGATTACTGATCTGTCTCCCTAAATAGTCACAGAGTTTAGAACAATCCAGCTTTGAAGTGTAGATGTTTTATTTGTCACTTCACTTGATCTGTGAATAAGATCGACATTTTGGGACTGTCTCTTAACCGTACATATTTTTTTTGCTTCTTGATTAGAAAGGAGATGCAAACCTCATGTCCATCATGGAAAACCAAGATGCTTGTTTGCCACCTTCCAAAATGAAATAAAAAAAATAAAAAAATCATGACCAAGAACTGAACCAAATGTGTTTGGGTTCACACTAGTCAGTTACCAAAGATTCTGGCACATGGTGGCTTAGAAATTAGAATTTCCTTCAATCCCCTGATCGGGTCAAATTTGGCTGAATTGCAGTTCAGTCCCAGATGAATCTCCAAGTCTCCTTGTCACCCCTCTCTTCCCAGTCCCTTACACATCTCCAATTAGCTCTAGCTATGTTCACCTATTTAGCTTGTACTTCCAAATCTCAAATGTTCTTCCAAATCACTTGCACCTAACCTCCCTGTCACATATCCTCTTCATCTACCTGTTATGTACACTCACCACACGAGACGTTCATTCATGACTTACATGCTTCTACCCATTCACAAATTGCCACTCAGCCACATACACTTAACCAGTCATATTATCCTACCTAACCTGTGCCCTAGCTCCACCTCAACTTCCAGTCACACACACTCACACTTTTACATTCACACACTTGCCCACAAAATATGTCACTTACAACCATACACCCATCCTGACACCTGTTGCTATACAACCACTCAACTAGTCATGTTCACTATCCAAATATACTCCAAACTAGTCGCATCCACCCATTCCATGACATCACATCAATGTATATATGAAGGGTTGGAGCACATTGACAAAAGCAAAGTGAATAGAAAATATCTATAGACAATATTAGGATGACACACTTGCTATATAGTTACCAGCTTCACAAAAGTTGTTCTCCTAAATAGAGGAGAAAAAGAAAAAAATAGAAAATAATTAAACAAAATTTATTAGCGTGATAGATATAAACTAAACAATGAAACACTCACAATAGTGAATGGCATGTACTAATAAATGCACAACAATGGCAATGTTAGCCTCAATAGGCTTAGTCCCCCACCGGGTAGCAGTCGGCACTCTCTACCTATACAGCATGTAGTGCACAATAGTCCAGGGTAATGTGCTAAATGCAAATAAGCTGCTTGACATACCAAGTCTCGGGTTCTTCTTGCTGGGGCTCTACGTGCTTTGTCGATCCGACTTCCTCAAGAGCTTGTATCTTATTTCCAAGTCTTCGACTTTTAAATCCAGTCCTGCTAACAAACTTATAAACAGCAAAAACATTAACATTATTATGTCACTTCTCTCACTCTCTTTTCCTTCTCTCTCTATATCTCTATATTTATATATTCGGGGCCAATACAAACCATTGTGTGGAAATGTATTCACAAACCGGACTTTACATAGGACACGAGGCCATGCGTTTAGACTGGAAGAAAGAAGATTTAGTCTAAGGCAAAGGAAAGTTTTTTTTTTACTGTAAGAACAATCAGGATGTGGAATTCTCTGCCTGAAGAAGTGGTTTTATCAGAGTACATACAGATGTTCAAATGGCTACTAGATGCATACTTGCAAGAACAGAATATTCAAGGATATAATCTTTCAATGCAGGGTAATAACTGCTTGATCCAAGGATAAATCTGACTGCCATTCTGGGGTCAAGAAGGATTTTTTTTCCTAGTTGTTGCAAAATTGTGCTGCAAACTTGGGTTTCTTTGCCTTCTTTTGGATCAACAGCAAAAAACAAATGTGAGGAAGGCTGAACTTGATGGACGCAAGTCTCTTTTCAGCTATGTAACTATGTAATCTTTCCATTTTTTCAGTCTCTCCCTCAGTTAATATCCGCTAATCATTTCATGTGCCATGTCAGGTTTATCCCACTATCAACACTGCATTACTTTTCCCTTGTGCCTAGATATCAATGAAAAAGTGATTAAAATGAACTTGCAATGGAAAAAAAGATAAGAGCTACAACTTTGAAGAAATGTTACCTCTGCAAGGTTTAGAGTCTGTAATAGTCCAGCTATAGTATATGCATATTTACATGTGTAAATACAACAAATATACTGTTATTTGATGCTACATATAATTTCATAACTTTGTTCTATTTATTGTAGAAAAGGAGCACTCAAGAGGTAAGTGTAATAATAAATATCACTAATTCCACCTTAATTTGAATAACATACATAACAACTCAATTATAATGTTTAGTGTTTAACTGCAAAAATTATGGCCATTTTTAAAAATTAAATAATACATATAATTACTTCATTATTTGGATCTGATCTGCTTACTTTTGTTGCAAATCCTTTCTGCAATGTGTGTTTAACTAACATATTAATATATTTGTTTATTTTCACATGAACTTGTTTGTATTCTGTCATCTAACAGCACTGAATGTGTTTGCACAATTAGGGATATTGTATGTTCTAGAAATTGTATTTCCTTGTATCTCAATTATTTCTTTAGATTCTGCATTGACAGAATGCGGCGGCGAGGCTTATCTTCCTGTCCGCCCGCACCTCCCATGCCTCACCCTTCTGTCAGTCCCTACATTGGCTTCCTATAAAATATAGAGCTCAATTTAAAATTCTGCTTCTTGCTTTCAAATCTTTACATAATGCTGCTCCCACCTATCTATCCTCCCTTATACACAAGTATGTCCCGCCTAGGCCCTTACGCTCTGCTGAAGACTTACTTCTATCTTCTGTCTGTACTCCCACCTCTGATGCTCGCCTTCAAGATTTCTCGAGGGCTGCACTGTTCCTGTGGAACTCGCTTCCCTCTTCCGTTAGATGCTCACCCAGTCTCCACTCCTTCAAAAAATTGTTAAAAATCCACTTCTTCATAAAAGCGTATCAATTAAACTGTTAATAGCTCCTGACTGATTGCTCTGCTGCAACTGTCACTAGTCTAATACTATCCTTACCTTTTTGTGTCATTTTACCCCACTCCCTCTAGCATGTAAGCTCATTGAGCAGGGCCCTCATCCCCTCTGTTCCTGTGTGTCCAACTTGTCTGGTTACAACTACATGTCTATTCGTCCACCCATTGTAAAGCACTGCGGAATTTGACGGCACTCTATAAAAATAATAATAATAGTCTTACATTTCACTCGGTCTAAAAGTGCTAGAAATGGATAAAACCTTATAATTTTCATCCTATCAGTATACGGTATTTGTTTAAATGCTATTTTATCTGTAATCCTATATACCTGACAGTTACATTTGTGAAAAGATGAGGTATGTTTATGAATAATATGATATATAAAAATATAAATAGTCAGTGATAAATACTTTATTGTAAGATACAATTTAGCTGCTGTTAATTTACTGCAGAACATAGTGACTAATTCAGCATCACTTTAAATTTCCCTATCTAAACCTAATGTTTACACATATTATCATAAAACACCATAGTACAGTTTGTTGCAGCAATCTTTAATCACATGTGGGTATACAGTAGCTTTGAGTAGCTTTTTGTTTTATACACAGTTTTATCCCTTTGTGAAGGTCAATGCACCCTGTAGTTATTTAATGAAATCAGACAAACAGCACGTGATACCTATTTCTGGACTTCTCACTAGTGAGGATATCCAGCAATAGAACCAGTGGAGCTTTTTCCTTCACGAGACAGTCCAGCCTTTAACGCTGTGGTTCCCAAACCAGTCCCATGGCCCAGAAAACCATGTCTATTCAAATGGAGGTACTGGCAAAACATCATTATGAGAACTGGTTTGAGAACCACTGTTTAAAAGAAACACTTCAAGCGCCATATTCACTACCGCACTTTGTATTGATTATGGTGGCAGGAGTGCCCTGGCAGCCCCCAATATCAATAGTCATATAGTGGTAATATTTTGACTTCTTACCTAGGGCACACTTGGCGCCATTTCCTGCCTCTCAGAGAGCTGACCACTCTCTGTCTAAGTCAAACTTAGTTAAGGCAGTGCAGCGCCTAGCTTACTGGTTGAAAGGGATCAGCTGACTATCTTAGACTATGAATAAATAAAAACCGATAGGGGGTAGAGATCTATCAGTATGGCTAGTGACTAAAACTGAGTTATTTATACATTACAGATTTTCTGTAAATAAATCCATAAACATAAAAGCATTCATAGCACCTGGAAGAAGACCCTTGAGGTTGAAACGCGTTGTGCCTGTATTCTTTATGCAAAATATTTGCTTTTATTTTACTTGTTTTATTGTGATTTATAAGTAAAATCTTTTAAATACTCTGTTACTCTGGAGAAATTATTTCTATCCAAAAGGATTGAACCAGGAGTGGGACAGATCGCCTAAGGAGTATATAAAACCACCACCTTTACAGCCAGAGCCTGCTGTACGTGACTCTGAGTATTGTGAGTGACCCATTACCTCTGATTTTAAATCTGATATTTTAAAACCATATTATGCTATGTATGCTTTTATGTGTTTTACAGATTGATTTACAGAAAATGTGTAATGTATAAATAACTTGGTTTTACTCACTATCCATACTTGTAGATCTGCACCCCCTATCTGTTTTTATTTATTTATTTCTCTTTGTGTCCTGTTTGTGGATAAGGCCACTAGAGGTTGTTACAATTTACTAATATCCATGCCAATCCACCCATTACCCATTGTTTGTTTGGGTTTTTCATCATCTCAGACTGTGAGCTGGCCCTGGGTCTTAACTCTGGAAGCCAACAGAAGCTGCTAAGTAGGGTTTTTCCGGTTCTCCTGGAGGTTTACAGAAGTTGGTGAGCAACAGCAAGTGAGATAAGAAGTCAAACTGGTATGAAACGGAGGGCTTCAGGTTACTCCTGGCATCAAAATCTCTGCAGTCTGCTGTTGTGATGCTTAAAAACTGTTTAGTAAAATTCTGTAGAAATGTGAACATAAATTAGCTTGATTATTAGAAACTTTTTTTTTTTTTACACGCTTTGCATATGTCACATTAATTGACCTACTTGTTTTGTTCAGCCAATAAATGATGTGGAGATTTACAGCATCAACATTGACAGTAAAGTAACATCTCGCTTCGCTCATAATGTCATCAAAAGCCGAGCTGTCAATCGAGCAAACATTTCAAAGGAAGCCTTTTTTGATGTAGACCTTCCTAAAACGGCTTTCATCACCAACTTCAGCATGTAAGCATTTCACTGTTTAATTAAAAAAAAAAGTACATTAAAATATAATTAGCATGTGACGTGATTCCTTTACCCAATTCATATTCTACAAACATCAGTGAGTTATGTCTCTGTTCATTATCATAAAATATTATCAATGTGTTTCCCCTTTGCTTAAAAAAATTAATAGAAGAATATGTAAATGGTTAACCCTCCAATTACTAAATAACATTGCTATATTATCATATACCAACTCCATAAATTTCTTAAAAATAACATCTGCACATGATCTCTTCATTAGATAATAAATAAATAATAAATATTCTTCTACCGCATAATAAATATAAATTTCTCTACTTGTTAAATATTAATGACATATTATAAATATGTTATCCCTATGCTTCAGTGTTAATTTTGTCAACTACAAGTTTAGTCAAATTTTAGTGGACTAACATTTTTGAGATTTAGTCTACTAAATCTAGACTAAAACTAAGACAATTCAGATTACTACAACTAGACTTAAACGGCTTTTTAGTCAAAAGACTATGACTAAAACTAAATAGAAATTTGCCACCAAAATTAACACTGGTCTGCTTATAAGATACCTGAGAAATAACAGCATGTTTTGCATTGGCTCATTGTGGCCTTGATTAAATAAAGCTTTTCAACTGATTCAATACTGTTAAACTTTTCAAAGGTTTTATCTACAAAAATTAAAAAATTCCCATAGACTATAAAGGTTATTTCTGTATATAAATTATCTGGAAAGCTTAGTAAATTGAGGCCTATGTTTGAACTCCCTAAATATCACAGCAATATCAATACGTTATCACTAAAATTGTGAAATATTTTATATATATATATATATATTTATCATCAGCAGATTATTCCTAAACTCATTAAAGATTATTATAATTTAGAAATATAATAATATGTTATCCCGCCATGTATTCATATTTAATTCCTCTTATATGTATCATTAATCAACAGGTAAAAATGCCAACAAAAATAATCATTTTAAACATATAATTACTCTATAATTTATAATGACAAACAAATAGATATGTTTTTCAAATAAATTAATTGTATTTTAATTTGTAAAATGTCAGAGAATTAGTAATTTTAGACGTTAGTGTGAAATGTCACTGTTTTATGTGTGTGCCAGGATAATTGATGGTGTTACATATGCTGGAGAAATTAAGGAAAAAGAAGTTGCGAAGAAACAATATGACACAGCCGTGTCAAGGGGTCAAACCGCAGGTCTTGTTAGGTAAGTGTAACCCACTTTTTAAAATCTATTTATTTAAAGGGACACTAGTGGGTGCATGAGGATGTTCTGGATATTGGGAGTTTAGGGGCTTTTGTGAGTGTTGTAGTCGGTAGGAAGGGAAAAGGGCTTGTGGAAATGACTGTGATGGGGAAAGGGGCAGTACTGGGAGAATAGGAGCTGTGATGTGGATGAAGCAGTAGTGGGATGATGATACAATATTAAATTATTTTAAGATACATGTTTAATTAAAACACACACACAAAAATTATTCTTCCCTCCCTGAGGCTTACGCTTGGCAAGGGAGGAGGGAATTTTGATCTCTAGTGGGACTACTTGCTTGCGGTGGGTGCCAGCAGCTCTTTTCGGACGGTGCTAGGGAATGTATCAGAGCGATGGCGAAGTAATGAATGGCAATGCTCTGATGTACTGCCTCCTACCCCTTGACATCAAGATGGTCTGGTCAGCAAGGAATATTTGTAATTATTCAATATAATACCGCACTCCCCATATTGTATTTGCAGAATTGTTTTTTTGTTTTGTTCATACTCTATTACAGTACAGAGGTTTTTTTTTTTACCATAACTTAGCTTGTCCAATAAGACTTTAGCTTGTCCAATAAGTATCTTTCCAGGAGATGTATCAGGTTATACGTTTGTGTGTGTATTATATTATTAGGGTGATTTTTCTTGTATGTTGTACTTCTTGATGCACTTTATGTATTTACACACACATCACAGTGGTATGTTAAGAACTGAGTACTTTAGATTTTTTTGGAATGCATGTCTTTTGATTGTCCTAACAGCTATGGGAACAGCCAACAGAGTGGAGGGATTATTGGGATGGGCTGGGGATGACCGAGATGTCATGGTCCATATTGGTACCAATGACAAAGTCAGAGGAAAATGGAAGGTCCTAAAGAATGAGTTCAGGGAACTAAGAAGTACGCTAAAGAAAAGGACCTCCAAGGTAATATTTTCAGAAATATTAACTGTGCCACGTGCTACAGCAGAAAGGGAGTGGGAGATTAGAGAGGTCAATGTGTGGCTGAAGTCTTGGTGCAAGAAAGAGGGTTTGGGATTTTTTAGAGCACTGGGCTGATTTTGCACTTGGGTATAACCTGTATAGCTGTGATGGATTGCACCTAAATGGAAGAGGATCTGCTTTGCTGGGGAATAGGATGGCAAGAAAGTTGGAGGAGATTTTAAACTAGTGGTGGGGGGAGGGACATAGCAATCTACAATGGAGAGATGACAGAAAGAAGATGGGCTTTAGCAAAGCATAAGCGGGGTGGAGATGGGGAAGGGCAAGAAGAGAACAGGGGAGGTATACAACAGAAATAAAATATTTTGCACAAAGTGACTCATGATAATAAGAAATGTATGCTTACTAATGCAAGGAGCCTAAATAACAAAATGGGGGAACTAGAGGCAATAGCATACACTAAGCAATATGATATATTAGGCATAACAGAAACATGGTGTGGTGAGACTCATGACTGGGCAGTTAACTTAAATGGGTACACATTATTTAGGAAGGATAGGAAAACAAGAAGGGTGGTGGGGTATGTTTGTATGTCAACCATGATTTAAAGCCAAATCTTAGGCATGTGGAGTGTGACAAAGAAAACGTGGAAGCTTTATGGGTATATATCTGCTTGGGGCAAACAAAGGGAAAAAAAATGGTTGGGATATGTTATAAACCACCTAATGTAAATACTTATTAGGAAGAACAGCTCTTAAAACAAATTGGGAAAGTTTCACATCTGGGTAACACATTAATTATTGGAGATTTTAATTATCCAGACATAAATTGTGAAAGAGGGACTAGTACTTCAGCAAGGGGCATCAGGTTTTTGAATGTGTTAAATGACACCTTTATGTCACAACTGGTACAAGCACCAACTAGAAAGGATGCTTGTCTGGATCTCATTATAACAAACAATGTTGATCTTTTAACCAACATTCAAGTAGCGTAGCATTTGGAAAATAGTTATTACAATATGGTAATTTTTTAAATAAACTCCAAAAAGCAAAAGCATGTGGGGTATACTGAAATGTATAATTTAAAAAGGGCCAATTTCAATAAGATTAGGGCAGCTCTACAACATATCGACTGGTATAAACTCCTTAGTGATAAAAACACTGAGGATAAATGGAAACTATTCAAACCAATATTAGAAAGGTACATTTCTCAGTATGTACCATTGAGTAATAAATATAAAAGAAAAAAATTGAAACCAATGTGGCTTAGTAGTACAGTAAAACAAGAGCAAACAAAAGGATAATACACCCCCCAAAAAATATATATGATCGCACACCAAATACTTAACACAATATGATGACCATAGGTCAGGTAGAGTGTGGCGGAACCAACCTCGCCACTATGCACTGTAGAAGCCTGGTTGCCAGCCTCCTGCCATGTGACTATGGCCCCTGGGATGTATTGCCCTTTAAAGACATGATTTGGGCATAATGGATTTGTGTTGTGCTGCTGCTAGCCCTTTTAAGAACCATCTGGGGACATACTGTGGAGTTACTGGGTGGCCACCATTTCCTGTATCAGAAGCACATGGTGAGAACAATGGATGGCGGCCATTTTAACTCACAGACACTGTTTGGACTTTTCCACACTGTGCCATCTCGCCAGTATTTGTTGCACAAAGACATCGTGCAGTGGTTTTGGACTATACAGCAGGGGACACATTATACAGTGATTGTTTTTTATTTAGCCTCTATATGTTCTGCAGAATCTGCATTAAACTGTATTTTCCAAAGTACTGAATGGATCTGGGTGAATTTTGGATATGTGGTTCACCCAGATCCCCCAGTTCCAAGGATATACTTTTTATGGGGTTATTGCATGTTTTGGGGTTCCTGTGATGTGTTTTATGAAACTGTATTTCTCTGGATAATTAGATTACCCATTGTGTTCAGTAATCATATCACAGCCAGAGGGGAGGATTTTGTGTGGGAGTGTCTGGGTGTATTGTATGGATTGATTGGCTGTTTTGTAACGCCCTGTGGGCTGTACTATGTTTGTGGATTGGGAATAAAAGAGACTGTATGTGACAGTACAGGGAGTTCCTGTTTTAACCCTCAAAGTGAAGTGTCATCTCATTATTGGGGGAAGGATTCATTGTATGCTGTTCCAGTTTGACTGCTAGGAGAGTAAACCTATTCGTATGGTTCCTATTCAACTGTCTACAGCATTCATATGCTTGGGAGAATTTATTTGTTTCTCCGGTTCGGTGATTGTGGTGTCTGCTGCAGTGTTTGGAGTCCTCAGGAAGCGCTAGGAGCATCCTTCAACGGAGGTACCCAGTCGGGGTGCCAGGTGATCCGTTACATAGAGCGATCTATAAACGATAAATATAAAAACACATAGTGCTCACTGTTTAAAATAAAACATATATTAAAACAGGTGAAATAACACTCACACAGCTCGGAACCGTATCAGGCTCTATAAAGAGGCTCCAGGTGCCTATACAGGCTACGAAGTAGATGTAGAAGAGATCGATGGTCCAAAGATGAATCAAATAGTAAACTTATTGGACATATATCAGAGATACAAGTTAAAAACAAGTAAGCAGTGCCAACTAGGGATTGTACACAATAAAAAAGTATGGCACCGCAGGAAAGCAACAAATAGAAGAAATAAATAATATTAATACAGTATAAGGAGTCCCAATAACAGCAGACGCATTTCGACCCTCTCAGAGGTCTTCCTCAATGCTGACTGTCTCTTCTTAGTTGTAGTTATTTACCCCTTGAATTGCCAAAATCCGTAACAGGTGAGTTCCGCTTATGACGTCACTTCCGGTTTTCAGGCCAATACGTCATAAGTCCGCATAACGGAAGTATAGAAAATTGGCACATTGTAACTTCGTCATATGTGGTATAGGAGTCCCCAAAGTATGGGCAAAAGTCAGAAAGTCCATATTACATAAGGCAAAACATATATACAGACAAACGTAAAAATAAATTCTTAATTAAACAGCCAGAAAATACACAGTATAAAGAATCACACCAGAAATAAGCATCTAGAGAGGTGGACCTTCAATATATGGTAAAAAGTTGAAAAGGTTTTTTTTTTTCAAACAGGGCCATCTGAATATTAGCAAACAATATGTATATAAACACATGTTAGTATAGAGCATAGACACAACATGGTGTGTTTAATAAATGCAATTTTAGAAATAGAGGGAAGAAAAAAACTGCAGAAATGATGGATAAATTATTTTAAAAAATGTTTTAAAACATAAAAAATTGGAATATTAAAAGAGCTGCTAAAAGTGACTTAAAAAAGATGATGTATAAAAAACGAACTAATTCAAAATCCTAATGAATTCTTTTGGGGGCCAAAAATCCATATTAAAAATCGACCTCGTCTCTATTTTACCTAGTTCTTTAATTAAAGTTATCCTCTCCCCTCCAGTTGTGTGTTTTTTTTTTTTTTTTTTAAATAGCAATATAGTTAAGGAGGGTTGGGTCTTTATTGTGTAATTTAAAATAGAAAAAAATGGGCAGAAATGCTGTGTTTTTCAAACCCCCTTCTTATGTTACCCATGTGTTCCACAATATGGACTTTAAGGCTTCTAGTCGTCATCCCTATATATTGCAGTCCACACTGGCACCACAGGATGTATAGTTTACACACATAAATGACATTGTCAGCCAGGATCAGAGTTCTTGGCTGTCAATGTCACATGTGATGGGGTGCAACTTACCCCGAGCAAACAATTAACAATATCTCTGAATGCAGTGTTTGAAACAGAAACACTGTACATAATAACTTTTACCACCATGACCACTTTAGTGTTCATTGTGGTTGGGGTAATCCTTTAAAATCATTACTTATGTCCCATCTCAGTGCCATGCAAATGGAAATTGTATGTCCCTTTTAAATGTTTAAATAGCATGTGCCAAGTCATGTCTACAGTCATTATAGGGGCTGATTCAATCCAGTTACTAATCCACATACCAATAGATCCCTTTGTTAATTGGACAGACCCCAAATATTCCTAATATGTACTAGTGCTACATAATGTAAAGAACAAAATGAAATTCAACCATTTAATCTGCAATAATGTTTATTTGAGGGTATTGGTAAAGCATCACCTACAACAGTTATAACCATCACCATTTAATAGCAGGGCCAGACTGAGACAAAAATAGGCCTAGGCATATTTTTCCCTGGCTCTGACTCCCCACACCATTTCTTGGTGACCTCAAATAAAAAAAAGATTGGTCCAGCATTCTTAAAGAAAAAAAGAAAAGATGCTTTATTTAGTGCATAGCAGGAAACAAAACAGTATTTTGGCTCATGTATGAGCCATTTTAAAGCTTAAAAACAGGTTCCTGTCTGAGATAAAGTGTTGCCATTTGTGTGTTTCCTGCTATGCACTAAATAAAATGACACATTATTATTTTTGAAACTAGTTGGACTATTTTTTATTAGGAATTTATTAAAGGGACACTATAGTCACCTGAACAACTTTAGCTTAATGAAGCAGTTTTGGTGTATAGAACATGCCCCTGCAGCCTCACTGCTCAATCCTCTGCCATTTAGGAGTTAAATCCCTTTGTTTATGAACCCTAGTCACACCTCCCTGCATGTGACTTGCACAGCCTTCCATAAACACTTCCTGTAAAGAGAGCCCTATTTAGGCTTTCTTTATTGCAAGTTTTGTTTAATTAAGATTTTCCTATCCCCTGCAAGAGCCTCCTGTATGTGATTAAAGTTCAATTTAGAGATTGAGATACAATTATTTAAGGTAAATTACATCTGTTTGAAAGTGAAACCAGTTTTTATTTCATGCTTTGTCAATCATAGCCAGGGGAGGTGTGGCTAGAGCTGCATAAACAGAAAAAAAGTTATTTAACTCCTAAATGACAGTGAATTGAGCAGTGAAATTGCAGGGGAATGATCTATGCACTAAAACTGCTTTATTTAGCTAAAGTAATTTAGGTGACTATAGTGTTCCTTTAATGGTGTGGCAGTCAAGGGGGACTACACAGTTACATATATAGTTACATAGTTACATAGCTGAAAAGAGACTTGCGTCCATCAAGTTCAGCCTTCCTCACATATGTTGTTGCTGTTGATCCAAAAGAGGGCAAAAAAACCTGGTCTGAAGCGCTTCCAATTTTGCCACAAACTAGGAAAAGATTCATTCTTGCCCCCAAAATAGTAGTCAGATGTCTCCTTGGATCAAGCAGCTATTACCCCACTAATTAGAAATTATATCCCTGTATGTTATGTTTTTGTAAGTATTTATCCAATTTCAGTTTAAACATCTGTATGGACTCTGACAAAACCACCTTTTCAGGCAGAGAATTCCATATCCTTATTGTTCTTACTGTAAAAAAACCTTTTCTTTGCCTTAGATGAAATCTCCTTTCTTCCAGCCTAAATGTGTGACCTCGTGTCCTATGTATAGCCCTGTTTATGAATAGATTTCCAGATAAAGGTTTGTACTGGCCCCGAATATATTTGTATAAAGTTATCATATCCCCTCTCAGGCGCCGTTTTTCCAAACTAAACAGATTTAATTTTTTTAACCTTTCTTCATAACTAAAATGCTCCATTCCTTTTATCAATTTTGTAGCTCGTCTCTGGACCCTCTCCAGTGCTATGATATCCTTCTTTAGAACAGGCGCCCAAAATTGCACAGCATATTCAAGGTGTGGTCTTACCAGCGATTTATTTATTTTTTTAAATTCTTTATTTTTGTAGTGCATGGAGGTATAACAAATGAGCATGTGGTACCCCAACGGCATTCCTCATGCTTTTCAAGTAACAATTGTAACAATAGGGTATATGTTAATACGTGCACATTTTATATGTTAAATTATTATGAAGCTTGTCAGTCAGATTCAACAACTTGGTAGTGTTTAGACAGGCTTAGACAATGTGAGAACATCTTTAAATTTAAACAGGCTAAAGCTTACGTCATAGTGAATACGTTATATTAAGCAGTGGGTGAGTATGTATATCTACATTTAGATAATTTTTGACAGCACAATTTTATGAATAATAGATGAAAGGTAGCAAAGTTGAAGCTATGCAACTACGTCTGTCTCATTACATTACTTTGTCAATTAATAACAGTGGCTTAATATTTACGTAGCGTGTCATCGCTTTACTATCTAGACATCGTCCTGGTTATGCTTGACTACGCATAAGTGAGAGGCATACATTTTATGCAGCAACTGCTGGACTAAGTAGTCATGACATGCAGTAGATAAGACAGAAGGTTTGTGTTTCAGGTTATGATAGAGTAAGCAATGCTGACTACCGAGAAACATGTAATGCAATTAAGGTTTCCAGTTTAACTAAGATTCTCATTAAAACAAGGTGCCACCAGGCAGGGCATCTTACATTCCGCTGTTTCCTCTATACATATAAAGCTTAACCACAAATTGACTATGTACAAGGTTGTGTGCAGAGGGTGTGAAGGTTATTCAGTGACTGCAATTACAGTGCTATCTGATGTGGTTAGTCGTGGCATACCATACTTTATGCTTCTTATTATGAATGACTGGGGTCACCGCCAGCTCCATCTCGGCGCAAAGCATGAGATAGTTGGGTCGTACACAAATGGAAAGAGATATTTCAATCATCTTGCTAAACTCAGTTAATAAAAAAAAAATAAAAAAAGGAAAAAAGAAAAAAGCTAATATGTGGGATGTATTTCCTAGTGTGGTGTGCCTTGTCAAGTCTAGCTAAAACAATAAACACAAAACTTAAGTTAACTTAAATTAACAATGCAAAGTAGCTTGGGGGCCTTTCCAGTCTCCCTTGGTCCCGGTCAGGACGTCTCTCGATGCTTCATGTGGTCACTGTAGCATACGGTTCCCCTCTGTTTCGTCGTGGTGTAAACGGGGCAATTTTGCTTGGGTTCCAGGTATGCTTGTGTCTGGGTTCAGGTTGTTGCTGAGGGTTGACTAGAATGTCCTGCGGTAGTCCCAAATTCCCCAGGAGTGTGCCTGCCTCTCGTAGTTCCTGGATTTGGTGTGTGGTCTCTCCATGTATGATCTGGAGCATGCGGGGCATTCGCCAGCGGTACTCTATGTTGCGCTGTTGGAGCATGGATGTAAGGGGCTTGAGCGACCTCCGCCAGGCCATTGTGCTGCCGGACAAGTCACTATAGAATTCCAGTGCCATGTTTTCAAAGCGATAATTTGGCCTACCCCTGATTGCCTTCAGGATCGCCGTCTTGTCTGTTCCGTGCCTGAATTGAATTATCAGGTCACTTGATGTCGACGGTGGGGCTCTGGCTGGTTTGGGGATTCGAAAAAGCCCGTCCAGGGGTGTTGCTTTTGCCTGTTTTTGTGGTAGTAGATCCCCCATCATTCTCCGCACCAAGTGTGGCAGCTCCGCTTCGGGGACAGCGTCGGGCACCCCCCGGAGTTTCAAATTATTCCTCCGCCGTAGATCTTCTAGGGTTGCAAAGCAATTCGTGGGTCTGGTTCTGCCGCTGGAGGTCCTGCACCGCTTTCTCCAGCACCTGTATATGCTGAGAGTCCTGGTGAGTGGTGGTTTCTAGCTTGTCGATTCGGCCTGTTAGTCCCTGCAGCCCTCCCCTGATTGTGGCAATGTCAGCTTGCAGGGTGGTCTGTAGGTCGGCAAGGAGACCCTTTAGCACCGATAGTGTGACCGGGGATGTGTCCGGTTTCGTTGGCGGGGGTTTAGCCGGCGTGAGTTCAGGTGTCTCTTTATCTTCCGAGGCCAGGTCGTCTGAAAAATCGGAGCAACCGCCCGACAGGGCGGCCATCTTGGGCCCGAACGCGCCATGTGCTAAGCGCCACATTTCACCGATATTCATCCCAAGGTGAGGTTGATCCTGCTTGGGTTTTTTTGTTTTACGTCCCATAGTTGTCAGGTGCGACGGGTCCATACGGGTCCGACGTCTGGGGTCTCGGTATAGCAGGTAATGGCCCTGAAAATTGCGATTTTGTCCGCTTTTGGGTAGGAGCTGCAGTGTCGTGCGACTTCTCTCTTTGGTGGCTAAGCTCCGCCCTTACCAGCGATTTATAAAGAGGCAAAATTATATTTTCATCCCGAGAATTTATGCTCCTATTTATACATGACAAAATCTTACTGGCCTTAGCAACTGCAGATTGACATTGCATATTGCTGCCTAATTTGTTGTCTATAATAATTCCCAAATCCTTCTCGTGTGTGGTTATCCCTAATTCACTACCGTTTAGTGTGTTGCTTGTGCATTCTTAACCCCGAAGTGCATAACTTTGCATTTCTCTGTTAAATTTCATCTGCCATTTTAGTGCCCAGTCCCCCAATCTATCCAAATCTCTCTGCAGCAAAGCAATATCCTGCTCACATTTTATTACTTTACAAAGTTTTGTGTCATCTGCAAACACTGATACATGGCTTTCAATGCCTATTATAAGATCATTTATAAATATGTTAAATAGAAGTGGTCCCAAAACAGAACCCTGAGGGAAAACACTTACCACTTTTGCCAGCCTGAAAATTTACCATTAATTACAACTCGTTGTACTCTATCCTTAAGCCAATGTTCTACCCAAGAACAAGAATATTCATCTAGACCAATTTCTTTTAGTTTGAAGACTAACCTATTGTGAGGAACCGTATCAAATGCGTTGGCAAAATCCAAGTAGATCACATCCACTGCAACACCCTGATCTATACTTCTACATACTTCTTCGTAGAATGCAATTAGGTTAGTTTGACATGACCTATGTTTCATAAAACCATGCTGATTATTGCTAATAACAAAGTTCTTCCCAATGAATTCCTGAATATCATCCCTTAATAGCCCTTAAAATATTTTCCCAGTTATAGAAGTTAAGCTCACAGGTCTTCCAGGCAAGGATTTTGAACCCTTTTTAAATATAGGATCAACTGTAGCACCTTGTCTCGAGTTATCCAATCACAAGTTATTTGCAAGTTTTTTGCAGCAATCATTTGCATATCTCTTGCCATAGGATCCTCATTAATATATACTGAAGAAAAATAGTTATTTAAAATTTCTGCTTTTTCCTGGTCTTCATTAGCTAATAAACCCAAATCTGTTTCAAGTGTACCTACACTTTCATTTTTTGTTTTTTTAGAATTGATGTACTTGAACAAATTTTGGGGGTTGGTTTTGCATTCTTTAGCTATCAATTTCTCATTTTCTAGTTTAGCCACTTTAAATGCCTTTTTGCAAGCTTTATTGGCTTCCTTATATCTTAAATAGGATGCCTTTGATTTGTCTGATTTAAATGCTTTAAATGCCCTTTTCTTATTTTTAATCTCTTGTTTTACTTCTCTACTAAGCCACATTGGTTTTAATTTGTTTCTTTTATATTTATTACTCAATGGTACATACTGAGAAATCTACCTTTCTAATATTTGTTTGAATAGTTTCCATTTATCCTCAGTGTTTTTATCACTAAGGAGTTTATGCCAGTCGAAATGTTGTAGAGCTGCCCTAATCTTATTGAAATTGGCTTTTTAAAAATTATATGTTTTAGTATACCCCACTTGCTTTTGCTTTTTTGAGTTTATTTCAAAATTTACCATATTGTGATCACTATTTTCCAAATGCTCCCCTACTTGAATGTTGGTTAAAAGATCAACATTGTTTGTTATGACAAGATCCAGACAAGCATCCTTTCTAGTTGGTGCTTGTACCAGTTGTGACATAAAGGTGTCATTTAACACATTCAAAAACCTGATGCCCCTTGCTGAAGTACTAGTCCCTCTTTCACAATTTATGTCTGGATAATTAAAATCTCCAATAATTAACGTGTTACCTCGATTTGCAGCTTTCTCAATTTGCTCTAACAGCTGTTCTTCCTCAATAATATTTACATTAGGTGGTTTATAACATATCCCAACCAATAATTGATTTCCCTTTGTTTGCCCCAAGCAGATATCTACTCATAAAGCCTCCACCTTTTCCTCGTCACACTCCACATGCCTAAGATTTGACTTTAACTCATGGTTGACATATAAACATACCCTACCACCCTTCTTGTTTTTCCTATCCTTCCTAAATAACGTGTACCCATTTAAATTAACTGCCCAGTCATGTGTCTCATCCCACCATGTTTCTGTTATGCCTATTATATCATATTGTTTAGTGTATGCTATTGCCTCTAGTTCCCTCATTTTGTTATATAGGCTCCTTGCATTAGTAAGCATACATTTAATAATATCATGAGTCTTTTGTACTTTTTGTGAATTATCAATATTACATACCTCCTCTGTTCTGAGCTTTCCCCTCCCCCCATCTCCACCCCCTTTGTTCTGAGCTAAATCCCATCTCCTTTCCATCCAATCTCCATTTTCTAGATTGTTTTGACCCTCCCCCCCACCACAGCAGACCCTCTTCCGTTTAGGTGCAATCCATCGTGACTATACAGGTAGTACTCAAGCGCAAAATCGGCCCAGTGCTCTAAAAACCCAAAACCCTCTTTCCTGCACCAAGACTTTAGCCACGCATTGACCTCTCTAATCTCCCGCTGCCTTTCTGCTGTAGCGCGCGGCACAGGTAATATTTCTGAAAAAATTACCGTGGAGGTCCTTTTCGTTAGCTTACTTCCTAGTTCCCTGAACTCATTCTTTAGGACCTTCCATTTTCCTCTGACTTTGTCATTGGTACCAATATGGACCATGACAGCTGGGTCATCTCCAGGACTCTACTTTAGTAAGTGCTTGTCCGTTTTGGGTCTTCTTTGTGATCTAGTGGAGCTGCTGAGGTAAAAACATGCCAGCCACTGTCTCTTTCCTTGCTGCCACCATGGAATGCGGCATTGTATAGTAGCCACCCTTGCTACCGCTATAGAATATAGCAGTGAATGATCGTTACAATACTGTTTTCAGCAGAGATAACTGGCAATTCAGTTCCATTTTGCAATATGGATCCTTGTGTGATAACTCAGGAATCTCTCACACGGCATCTAATCAGAGGAATGTGCAGAAAGCAACATGTCCAAAGGTCCTTCACATTGCTTGGGAGACTTCTCCTCAGAGTGGAGTGCAAGTCTTCACATGTGAAATAATTCTGCTCCAACCTTCTCATTTCCTCTCTCTGCTCCTCTTATATGCAAATGTGTCTGTCTCTGTGTGATACACATATAGAACAATACAGAGACAAAGCTAATAAATCATTAAGGAAAAACAAGTTTACCATGATGGTATTACGGCACTAGTTGTTCTATTAGCTTTGAGTAAAAAGGTTGAGCTGCTGGGAGTACCATAGGCGAGGCCACCACACTTATTATAACACTGTATGTGGCAGCTGGATATTAACTGTGTGTAGCAGACCACGGGTAACCCGACTGGATACCTCTGTTATTATCTTCCTTCAGCCACTATGGAACCATCAGCACAAGTAACTACCCATTCCCCCAGTAACCAGACAAAACATAGTTCTGAGAGTACAACTTGAAAAACTGATCTTTTATGAGACATGGTACAGCCAAGTTATACACAGGCCCCTCACCAAGCCTAAACATGTTTTGCGAACAAGGGGATCCAATAAACAATACAATGTTAAATAGCCCTGACCTGAAAACAATAAGCAGGCATGCGAGTAGGCACATGTGGGCATGGTACTCAGTGACGGCGTTCCGTCACACTGTGGATATCAATGTGTCTCTGGGAACATTGAATAAAGTTGATCCGGCTGTAAGAGTGCAAGTCT